CCTCTTTTATTATATTTAAAATTCATGAAATGAATTCAAAAATTTTTTATTTATTTTTTCAAAGTAATAATTTTATATTTGGTTGTTTATACGACCTCCGTAGCCGAGTGGTTCGCACGCCGGTTTCAAGGTGTCGCCATCTCTGAGGTCCCGGGTTCGATTCTCGGTCGGGTCAATGTAGAAAATGAACTTTTCTATATTGTCTCGGGTCTGGGTGTGTCTCATATACTCCATAATATGGGAGCTTTAGCTACTCATCTTGGTATCTGAGCAATGTACGTGATTTTGTTTTATATATTATATATATACTAGTACGTAAATCTACAATTTTGCCAACCATATATGAATCATTTTTGATCAATAGGGTAGACTTTACTTTCTTTCGAAATTGTTCAATTTCAAATGGGTAATTATTTATTTTTAGAATTTATCAACTACCCTCTTTTTGCTATAATAAATTTCTTTTATCTAGATATTTTCAGAGAATCATTAACTTTATAATGAATAATTCAAATGATGGAAATGTTTACAGTAATAATGAGAATACATTACATAGTGATTCGGCTAATAACGGATCTCACAATCGAACAAAGAAACGAAATAAGCGTTGTCGCAGTGCCTCGAGTAGTAGCTCTTCGAGCTCCTCGTGTAGTTCTTCGTCATCCTCATCGTCTTGTACAGAGCCTGTGCGGTCAAAGCGTAACCGTCAACGCGAGATCGTCGTTTCAGTAAATTAATTCGCGAAGTGTGTCCTACGTAAACGAGTGTCTTATTACGATATGCCATCTACGTCGCGTTCGAATCGTAATTACGAAGAAATTATAGATGGTAACGTTAGCGAAGAGTTACTTCGAGATTGTAACGTTAGCATTTATTTTCAACCCGGTTTTAATTTTGAAATCGAAACAAAGTTAAAGGAACCCTCAGTTCCTAAAACACATCAAAGTTTTTTTTTTAAATATTAATAGATATTCAGTAGTTTCATAATAAACGAACGGTGTTAAGTCCGTTATGCAGACACTCGGAAATCTTATAATCTTTCGCCCGCATTAACTGATTTAGACGTTAATGATGAATTAAAGATATTTTAATGATAAACCATTTGCTGCGTTAACTTTTGTGTACTGAAGCAACGCGATGCTTTATAAACAGCCTTACGATCTTTGCTGCAATAGGGACACGATAAAACCGTGTTCCATTATGAGCAATTTCATGAAATCAATTCCTCTGAAATGCTACAAATTATTTGTGGTGATAAGGCCTTAATAATACAGATGAGGAGAGACGCTATTGTAAATTTCGTTCGAGATCCGTTAATTAAAGTAGCCTTAAGAAAAATTCCGCCATACTGCTAACAAGGCTAACGAACCTCCCCTCGCTGGGACAGGTATTTCTCAATGCTCCCTCGCAGGGAAGCGCTCATGGATATTGTGCATCTACGCATATTTCTCATGCAAATCAACCTCCGTAAGGTTGGTATCAACCTCGTTCCTCGCAGGGACAGAAGATACAAAGCAGAACATTTATTCAAACAAGAGGAATTTACTACCCTCCTATAAAAACAGGTAGAGTGCGAAAAGCTTTTGTGATCTTGAACAAAGCAGACTAACGAACCTCCCCTCGCTGGGGCAGGTATTACTCAATGCTCCCTCGCAGGGAAGCGCTCATGGATATTGTGCATCTACGCATATTTCCCATGCAAATCAACTATCGCAAGGTTGGTTTCAACCTCGTTCGTCGCAGGGACAGAAGGTACAAAGCAAAACATTTATTTAAACAAGAGGAATTGACTACCCTCCTATAAAAAACAGGTAGAGTGCGGAAAGCTTTTGTGATCTTGAACAAAGCAGGCTAACGTACCTACCCTCGCTGGGGCAGGTATTTCTCAATGCTCCCTCGCAGGGAAGCGCTCATGGATATTGTGCATCTACGCATATTTCCCATGCAAATCAACCTTCGCAAGGTTGGTATCAACCTTGTTCCTCGCAGGGACAGAAGGCGACAAGTAGTGATTTTCATTCGGCCACTTTATACAATAGAGGCTTTGGTGCAAAGAAGGTCGTTTGAACAATAGAGATCACGATCACAATAGAGGACGTAAACATACAGGTCCATCCATTGAGAATAATGCGCACGCAATTAATGTAAGTTTTGACAAACAGGCACTCAAAGGGGGCCAGTTGTCGCAATATCATCACCGTTGGCGTTACTGGGCGCTCCATATTATATTTTGAGGCTCAATCAGGGGTATCGCATACCCTTTCTTCGGGGGTATCGCAAAGTCGTAGTTGTACCAAATCCTCATGATATTCGGTTTGCCACTCCTATCACCGACACAATGACATCGTTAATATTACTATTATAGAGTCAAGCTGTTCTCGAACCAGTCAAAATAGCACCACGCTTTCTTTCAAAGATGTTGGTTGTTCTAAAGACCGATGGCTCTCCACGGCCCATTTTCAACCGTTAAACGATTTTGTCATAACAGCCCCAAAAGTCACAAACTGGGTAGCCCAAAGTCTACGAGCAGAGGGGATACGTATAACTGTTACTGGGACGATTTTCCCATGACCCACTAAGATCAGCAGGTCTTACAATTTCGAGCTCAGCTCTCGAAAGAAAGCAGTTTCTTAAATAAATGCAGTAAATCTGGAAAAATCTATACTAGTTCCTCAACAAAGCCTTGTTTTTCAGTGGATGAAAGTAGCGCAGCAAAAAGAATTACAGCCTTATCGGCCTATTTAATTTTTCCAGCTTCGTAATCCCTCAAGGGCGATTACATATATACATATATATATATATATATATATATATATATATATATATATATATATATATATATATATATATACCAATCCACCCTTCTATGGCAAAGCGACAACAAAACAGCTATTGCTTATATTCGAAACGAAGGTGGAACAAAATCCGCATCTCTGATAAATATGGCATACCAAAACTTTCAGTTAATGAAGCTGCATTTAATTTGAATAATTGCGTATCACATACCGGGAAGGTACAACGGCCATGCAGATCATCTATCTCGTTTCTGATTACCACCAGAGTGGCATCTTCTACCTGCATGTGCAGAAGTTGTGTTCAAAAAGTTTGGTGTGCCTGTGATAGATTTATTTGCATCAAAGACTGCTCATGTCGTTGCGAATTATGTTTTTTGGACCAAAACGATGTTTATTCAATTTATCACGGAGCTTTTTCCCGTTAATAGAACTATGCGAAAGGTTGGATTTTCCTTCCTCCTTATCTAATTTTCAAAGAATTTAGTCACCTCAACCAAGCTCAAGGCACTTATTTCCTCAGTGGGATCGAGTAATTTGGTGAGCAGGTCTGAAATCCAGAGCATTGGTTCCACCGTTTACCACCCTACCCCACCTAAGTCGTTACCTGATAGATACCTCAACGAATTTTTCCATCTTCGAAAGTACAAGAGATGATATTGGTAGTGTGGATTTGTAGTGCTGGTCAAGTAACGTAACTGACAGCTCAATCTTTTACAATCATCATGGCGTTCATCTACGCGCAAGACATATAGGGCAGCCTGGCTTAGATGGCTTAAATGGAATAAGCTACATAAGTTTAATGCTTTTCAACGTAATGGTTCAGTATTAGCAAGGTTTTTAGCTTATTTATACCTTAAAGAATTATTCTCTTATTTATAACACAGTATTGTTACGTAATATCCACGTTGTGTAATACAGAACTATCAGGTTCCCATAGTTCTCACGTGTTTATTCGACACGTTGTTACGTCAATTTCTTTTAAAAACCCCGTAACACACAAAACGTCTGTTTGGGATGTTGATAATAATCTTATGTCTTTTTTAAAACATTATACTTTGACAAAGAAAGCAAATTCTTAGTCTCTGGACACACTGCAATATGACTTTGTTTAGGTCATAGAGTTCACGACCTTACTTTATTAGCAGTAAATTTTGACCATTTTAAGAGAAATGACGACTACATTATTTTAAAATGTAAATTTATATATCTACTAAAACTATTGCACATTATCAAACAGTAAATATGTGATACCCTTATTTTATGACGTCTGTTACCCCTATTACAAGATCGACAAATAATCTTTCAGTCGACGAAATCTTATATCTCGTAGTAACTGGAGATCTGAAAATACTTTTAAAAAATTTTATAAACGTGAACGTGTCCAACTTCAGCTATAGTACGAATCAAAATATTATAAATACTTTTGTAACAATTACAAATTGATTAATTATATAAATTTAAGCAACATCACTGATTTTGTACTACTTTCAGTTTAGTAATTATTACAAATTGCATTGACTTAATAACTAAGTAAGTCTTTGCTACATAATATCGAGCTTATTTAATTTGATACAAACAATTGTGTAATTTTCTTTCAAATCCATTTTCATGTCTAATGTCACATTGGCGTCATTCATCTCCACCAGGCGATAACAAACACGTCTCAAACCATAAAGTTTCAAATAACGGTCAAGTGTTTAATGACAGCGTTTTTCCTGAAATAAAACGCTTATTAAATACTTACCTTATTTGAAACTTTAATTTAAATGCTGCCTGGTGGGTTTTTCGACTCAATGAAGCAAGCGCGCAAAGCCTGCCTGGTGGTCGAGTAGACGTCAGATGTGCGAGTGAAAGGCAAAATATGTAGAAAGAGAGGCAAATAGGCAAGCAGGAAACCATAGAGCCTATCTCCAAACCATAAAGTTTCAAATAAGGTAAGTATTTAATAAGCGTTTTATTTCAGGAAAAACGCTGTCATTAAAACGAAAGTATCAAAATTATAATACAAAACTAACCTAAAAAAGATACAACTTTATCTAATCGTTGTAATTTCTCCATGAAATTTTTATTTAATTCAGTTTTCACTTCAGTAAACTTGTCAATCATGATGGAAAGAAGTTTCCTCGATGAACTTTTTATCGGCTTCGACATAATTTTTAACCAAAAACACAAGTTCAAATTCGCAAAAACAACAAAATTCAATATTCTTGAATTGTCTAACGTAGTGTCAAACTGACAGTTCTATGTTGTTGCCATATGAAAACGGAAAAATAGGTGGTGTCACGTTTCGCTTGCCAAACTCTAACCGTAATTTATTGATTACATAAAAAAACGACGCTACCCTGATTATAACTTTTAATAAAAAATATATGGTTATTTATCGATAACAACAAAGGAAAAAAAAAGAAAATACAAATATTATCAAATAAAACAACATAAAACATCAATTTGGTGAAAAAAAAAATAATATAGAAAATATAAAAGAAAAGTTTATTTCAAACCTAGCAAAATATGTTACCATTTCAAATCATTCTTTAATTTATTTAGTTACTTTTTTATCATAAAATTTCAAACTTACCCGTCATCTGGGTTGGTTTGTAAATATTAACATTAAAAGAATTATAACTTTGGATGAATAATGTTATTATTAGAGATGGTTTCAAGCTATTTTCAGTAGTAATAAATTAAATAGGTAGGTTATAACAACTTAAATAGGTAGATTACTTAGTTTATATTTGACAGTTTGTTTACTACTTATCTCAAGTAAGAACAAATGAACTATACTCGGGTATAGAGAATCATGTTATGGCAACAAAAATACTTAGATTGTCAAAGAAATCTGAAAGCAGCTGTGCTATACGTGTTTTTATATGATAATTTTATCAAAAATGGCAGTCTAATCTGTAATAAACAAACAAATTAGATGTGAAACATAAAGTTAAGATGTCGAGCCGCCGTTCGATACTCGGTTCAGCCTTGGACGCGTTGCCTGCACCGTCTGACCCTTTACGAGAGTTATTCGAAGCTTGCAAAACTGGGGATGCAGCGAGAGTTAAGAAACTAATAACTCCACAAACTGTGAATGCCAGGGATACAGCTGGTCGGAAGTCAACACCTCTACACTTCGCTGCAGGTAATCTTAGTGTTTTTAAATGCTATTATGTAAAGTTCAATAGTAAAAAATGATAAGTGAAAGGGTTCGTTTTTTCATTAATGAAACAATAATTTTTGAGTATTGCATAATTGGATACGGTGGATGATCGCGTTCGTCAGTTTTTATCTAATTTTTGTCCCTGTTTCAGTAGTTTTTATGTAATTCGTGAATTCATTAGGCTTTTTTTTAGTTTTTCTTAATGATTGTGTTAATGAAAGTTTGCTACATACACAAGCATTTTACAGTTTGTTGTCATGCATATTTTTAATGTTTTGTTAACGTTTTCACACTGATGATTTATGTGATTTATTATCCTTCATTCATCTGAAAACATTTGAACCAATGAATGAGTAGTCAAAATGTTAAAAACATTGCTACCAAAATTTCTTTAAATATTTTTATTAGACATGTTTTCTAATTTTTAAATAATTATTTTCTTTGTAGTGAGATAATTCTTATTGGATTTTTATTGTATTGCATGCATTTATATTATATTTTTTTTTTATGTACTCAACAAGGCCTTTAAACCCATATTGCTATGATATAATTCAATATTATTTTAAATAACTCCACAATCCATCATGTTGGATATTGTCACTAGGAAAACATATTACCATAATGTCTTTCCACAATTGATTTTGAACCTTATCTTCAATGTACAAAGCTTAAAATGATATGACAATAAGGATGATAATAAATTTTTGTTTTAGTCTATCCATCAGGTAGAAAATGGAAGATGATTAAACACATACAATACATTGCTTTGAAATGTTGCATAATGTTTGTATACACCCTTGTACATTTTCTATACTATAGTGGTGATGTCCACTCCTCAACCTTAATGCCTATTATCTATGCAATATTTTTGTTAAATTGATGCAAATAATATGAACCTAATATTTTTCTATAATCTGACCGAGAGACTAAATAGAACTTCTTTTTTTTACCCAGGCATCATCTCTATTATGTTTAACTAGCTGTACGTAACACCGGCAGGTTACGGGCGCAGGGAAGTGGTAGAGATACTAATAGCTGCTGGGGCGGCTCTCCAAGCGCGAGATGATGGTGGTCTCCAACCGCTGCACAATGCATGCAGCTTTGGTCATGCGGATGTCGTGAGGGCGTTACTTGGCGCGGGGGCGGCGCCCGCTGCTAGAGATAACTGGGGATATACGCCCCTGCATGAGGCAGCTGCTAAGGGAAAAGTGGATGTCTGTATTGGTTAGTCCTCTCTTTACAATCATTAAAAAGTGCGTAAAAATAACTTTTGTAGTGTCTGGGGTACCAATGTTATTTTGTTTCTATAATTATTTTCATCATGAAGTGTGTATGTATATTATAGTACAAGAGTCAGTGACAAAATATGCATTTGTAACATTTGATAGTTGAATATGGAGATTCATCGCACAGTAGCCAGTGCAGAGGTCAAGTGCTAGAACACCCAGTGATGTATAAACCTTAGTACTTCTACATAGTGAAGAGTCAATCATTAGAAAACTTATATAATCTTGTCAGAGCTCTCAGTCTAATTTAATTTAAGTATTTTTACTTAGCCAAGGACAGAATTTTTTATCTGTCATGCATTGAACACTAACTAGTCTTGACTATATTTCAGCACTACTGCAGCATGGCGCAGACCCTAACATAAGAAATACGGAGGGCAAAACACCCCTGGACCTTGCTGATTCTGCCACCAGGCCTGTCCTGACTGGTGAGTGAGCGATGTCTATAGTGATATTATTTTACAATCTTCATTTGTTTAGTAATTTGTACCGATTCTAGGGCTCGAGAATCTCTTTTGTCTGCTAATATCTAGTAATTGGAAAAAAGTTCAGTTCAGTTTTGGAAAACAATTTATTTGTGCAAATATGAACTTAAAAAAAAACTGGTCAAAAGTGAATAGGACTCAACTACAAATAAATATTTCGTTTTAAAAAACTATATACTTAAAGGTTTATGTAATTTATTTTCAATATGTATTTTAAACAATTTATCCCCAAAGAGGTATGTTTCGAATTCATTAACTTAAGTTGCATGAACACCTTGAGTTAACCGACTTAAATATTTGGGCTAAATTTCAACTCGATCTTGCAGAAAGATGGAAAGATACACAGATAACCGACCGCTATAAGGGATCTGTTTTTACCTTTTAAGTTACTGTATACATTACGTGTGTAGGGGAGTATTGCGCGGCGGACGTGTTAGAGGCGGCTCGATCAGGCGCGGACGACCGGCTCGCCTCGCTGCTGACACCCCTGAATGTGAACGTGCACGCGAGCGACGGCCGCCGGTCGACACCCCTGCACCTGGCCGCCGGGTACAACAGAGCCAGGGCGGTCAGGCTACTGCTGCAGAGGGGGGCCGATGTACACGCCAAAGATAAAGGGTTAGTATTCATATTAGATTCATCAAACTAGCTTGGCGATTTTAATTAAGTATTAATAAAGGAAATAACACATTTATAATAAAAATAAAAAATAAATGGTGACAGGTGACACTCAAATCTGACGCCTAGATATTTGGGTATTGGCTAAGGTGAAAATTTCACCAATGACAAGGAGTCACCTAACGACTTTGGGCAACGCTTAAAGTTAGGAATTGCACTGTGCGGCGCCTAGCGCTGGGTATTTGCGTAATGTGACGTATACATTTACTCTTTGGCTATAATTGAAGTTGGAATCAAGGACTTTATATATTTGGATTAAATTTTCAGATTTTTGTATATGGACATTGATGACTTGAGTGCTCATTTCAAGGTCATGTTTTATTTTTCTTAGTTTATTACCTCAAAATATATTTCTACCTTTTTATGTGTAAAGGCTAATTACCTAACATTGGCGAAACTGTGTAAACGCAAATAGGCCATACATTAAAAAAAGAAGACAAACTAAAGCATGCTAAATCAAAGACAAACATTGCCTACTTAAAGTGCTTAATAAGGTATTACCTAATGTTTCAGGTTTGGTGAAACTTAACATTTGCTTAAGCTATTCTAAATATTAAGTGATTTCTAGTTAAGCTATATATTATAGCCTAGTTCTAGTTTAGGCAAAATGGGTATCAGTCTTCCAAGTTGGTTTCATACATGTAATAAGACCTTTATAATTAATAAGGGTTGATTTTGAACCTCATCAACCACATAGAGAAGGTCTACTATAAACAGTAATTAGTTAATTAAATATTAAAATTGAAAATATTAATTTAAATAGTAGTGAGCAAACTGTACAGTATATCGACAAAAAACGGTCATCGACCTCGGTCAGTCATACACAGCCACATGTTTGTCATCTTATTTGTTTTTAATTCTGATGTCCTCGGTGGCTAAAAGTTTAAGCACTACTCAACTACAGTAATGTGTTGTATTATGAACAGCGGTCTGGTCCCACTCCACAATGCTTGCTCGTACGGTCACTTCGAGGTGACCGAACTCCTGGTGCGAGCGGGAGCGGACGTGAACGCTACTGACCTGTGGGCGTTCACCCCCCTACACGAGGCGGCCAGCAAGGCGAGGCTCGAGGTAACTATAGTGGGGTACAACGAAGAATGACATTTTTTCAACATTTTCTATATCGTTAAGTCATCAATTTTGTAATTTGTATTAAGTGTGAGTATGAATTATCTATTTGTCCCTGGCACTCTGAGATGGGACTCGAACCTTTCGCAATCCGGGCGACTGGACCTAATAGGACTGATGAATTTTTAAGCACTTGTATTTTTTTTTTTGCTACTACAAAGCGTATTCCATTAATGTTCGGGCAATCCACCCAAACAGCTGAGAGAAATATTTTTACAATTATTTAAATCTTTCGATAAATGTCAGTTTAGGACGTAAGGACTTATTAAGACGGGATTTTATGAAATTCAACCCCTAAGGAGGTAAATAAGGGGTTGAAAGTTTGTATGAAACTTCGTTACTATGAGTGCTAGGAGTTTTATAGGGGCCTACGGCCTTTTATAGGGGCCTTTTATAAGTTTTATAGGGGCCTTTATTTATAGGAGTTTTATTACCTACTACCACGTCCAGAATTAGAATATTTTAGGTTATCCTCGGCATCACCAAAAACTTCTAGAACGGCTACCCGTCCCTTTCCCACCCAGCGGCTATCCCTTTATGCGATTCAAATGACATGTAACGCCATCTAGTAACGGGTGGATGAAACGTCGCGTCGCTGCGCTCTGTAACAATAATATTATGACATTATGTACAGGTGTGTTCGTTACTTCTAAGCGAGGGGGCGGACCCCACGCTTTTGAACTGTCACGGCAAGTCGGCGTTAGACGTGGCACCGAACAGGGAGCTGCAGGAGAGACTAGCGTGTAAGTTCAAATAAGTTTGTCATACTACTCACAAATCCACAATTATCAATTGTTTATCATTTGCTCATAGTCTTTAAAGTTAATTTTTGAATATCCCTTAAAGTAAATTTTATCAAGTTAACATTTGTTATCTTATAAAAGTCTTTTTGAAAAAAATATATGATTAATTCCAACAACTTTTTTTGCACACTGTACTTTACAGAAGCTTCATTCTAACCAAATGTCATGTAAATTCGCCCAACCTGTAAATACCGTGCCTCATGGCGCTCGGACCTCTATGTCTACACAAGACATCCGTCCGGGATAAGTCTCAAGGAGCAAAACTATTTCAAGAATGTTTTAACGGATGCTTATCAGAATTTTTATAATTAATGTCATGATGATCAAACACTTAGAAAACCTCAAATTATTATATTATGGTTTTATCACCTATTTGTTCTGAATAAAGTTTCTTCTACATTAAAGAGTATTTAACTTAAATGCTCTTTATAGAATTAAGAAGTTTCGTTGAAAACTGTTATAGAACAACCAGTTACAACGGTTACTGTTATAGATCTTTTTTATCACTGTATGGTAACTTAAGGCCACAGTTACAGAAGATCAATGTTATTTGGTGTAGATAAAGTATTATTATAGTATATTGGTCCTCGAAATAATATATATTTCCCATTTTTGTTTGTACAGTTGAATATCGGGGTCACTGTTTATTAGAAGCCTGCCGATTAGCGGAGCCGTCGAGGGTGAAGAAACAACTGTCATCTGGGAACAATCATAGTCAGGTATATGTGACACATTCTTCATCATCAACAGTGGTGATGTGATTATTTATATCGATAGAAGATGATTTATGAAGTTCACTTGAATCGAGTGTTTTAATACAAAAATTATCTCATTTTTGTTTAAATATTTTCACTTAAAAGTTTAAAGTAAACAAAAAAATTTGATTTCACTTCAAAAGGAGGGTAATTAGGTTATGAAATAAACGTGAATCTAGTACATACATCTATTTATATATATAAAATTCTTACGTTACTAAGTGACTGACTGACAGACAACGTACAGCCAAAACTACTGAGCGTAGAAAGTTTAAATTTGGAATGAAGATTCCTTAGGGAGTGTAGAGGAGCACTAAGAGAGGATTATTGAAAATTCCGTTTATATTTTCATCCTTTTATTTGGTGTTTTTCTGGATAAAATATGGCCTATGTTCACCGCATATGATGTAGCTTCCCGTAGCTGAACGAATTTTTGAAATCGGTCCATTGCTTAATACAAGACTATTGTATCGTAGTAATCAATGGCAACGATTATAATTATTAAGCAACTTTCGCAATGGTCGGTCACGGGATGGGTGACCGAAAAATTATTATCTCGAGCTTCTCGGTGCTTCGGAAGGCACGTTAAACCGTTGGTCCCGGCTGCATTTGCAGGACGTTAATACCCCCCAATCATTAAGCCATGGCATATCCTAACCATCCATAAGTAGGGCCTGAGCACCTGCAGCTGATGTACAAGGGCCGATGATTTTTTTTTTAATTCTTTTAGTTTTTAAGGGGTTTTTATTCTTTAGAACATACTATACTTATATCTAAATTCATTTTTTAACAATATTTCATTAATGAAATTTTTTCCAGCATTTACTACAGTTTATCTTAGATTTATGAGTAATTCCCATAGTTTTTATGCAATGATAGACTTAGGCTCTGCTAAAATACTTTGAACTAATCCAATATCCAAAACATTTAATTTAAATTCATTCATAAATGACTCTTTCTCATCTTTGTTTCTAATACACTCCATCAGCAAATGATGTACATCTTCAATTTTACTGCAGGCGTGACATTTGTCTGAGTCAGTCATTTTCTTTAAATATTTAAACTTTACCGATGGGTAGTGTCCAGAACTTAAAATAAAATCAATTTTATGTAATTTCTATTTATTTTAATATTATCAAACCAAGGGTCGGTGATAATTTCTATTTATTTGTATTATTATTTGTATTTATAATAGGGATGATGACTGGGTAAAAAAATGCAATTCTATTTAGTTCGTCAGTCAGATAATAGAAAAATATTACATACGTATTTTTTTTTACTTCAATTTAACAAGAATTAGCTTAGATAACAGGCATTAAAGTTGAGGAGTGGGGGCTCGCTACGTCACAGTTGAGTAGAAAACGTACTCTAACGTGACGTAATGCGAAATTTCAAAAAATGTAACGCCGTAATTTTATGATTACGAAAAAAATAAAAAAATACGTGTTTAATATTTTTAACACTCTACCAAACAATAGGGATGATGACTAATTTTTATTTGTTTGTCCGTCAAAACAAATAAAAATTAGTCATCATCCCTATTGTTTGTATGGTAGAATGCGGGCGCGTCGTGCAGTGCCAGCGGTAGTGGCGGCGAGTGCCTCCCCGGGGAGTCGAGCGTGGAGGCGCTCGCCAACTTCCAGCACTCCGCCACCGGGGACCGGCCGCTTCATTGCGCAGCCGCCAGTCTCTACCCCAAAAGGAAACAGGTCCGTACACATATATACGTACTGGAACGGTGCGACCCACTATCACTTATTTCGTCCCAGGTTTCCGCATGCAAACTTTTTGTATTTGATCTTCAACATCATTTATTTTTATTATTCACTTTTCGTAATAAGGAAGTATTAAAAAAAAAACATTAGTTCCCGAAATCAAACTAGATGTCGCTACGGTACGTTCTTGATTTCACCATGACAACATTTCCGGTTTTCTTTCATGTTTAAAAGTAAATTAGTTTTCAAAACTCAGTAAACAACTCATATTCTATTTGTAGTTTATCGTATTTTTTTTAATATCTGAGTTTCGAACTTTTCAAATTACAGATTTTTAATATGTTACGTAAAAGGAACGGAAATGACTGTCTTTGGTCCATTCGTTTCCTGCAAAAATCAACTTTTGCTAGAGTCGCCATCTAGTGGAGGTGCTTTTTAGTGTCATAATTTAATCATATAATCATATTTAATTATATAAATCCAATATATATAAATTACTATTATTTAAACAAGACGTATATCTCCGTGAAATATTTACAAAGTTCTACCTATTACGCAAAACCTAGAAATGGTTTATTTATTTTTTTGTTATCCTTTAATAAATCAAGTTTTCAAGCTTAGTCACCCTTTTATTCATTTGCCTAAGCATCGAACACTTCCCAATACATACTAGAGATGCTCCTAATATTCGTTTGGTATTCGATATTCGGTTATTCTTATTTGGCCGAATTGTTCGGTTAAGATGCCGAATATATTGGTTCGACTATTTCAATTTTACTTAGCTACTCAATCCGGTGTAAAACTAAAAGTGCTATAACTTAAATATCAATAATTCTTTTGTGAGATTTACGCTATTATTATAAGTCGAAGAAATTCTATAAAGAAAAAAATAATAATGCGCTCCAACTTTAAATAAACATTTATTTTTAAACTTATTTATACGGAAAACAATTAAACTTTAAACCGAATAATCAGTGCAGGTTTTTTTGATTCTTATTAAAATTCTTTCATAAATGACTCCCTCTCATATTTGTTGTACATCTTTAATTTTATTGCAGGCGTGACATTTATCCGAGTCGGTCATTTTCATTAAATATTTAATCTGTGCCGAAGATTAGAGTCCAGAACAGAGTCTTAAAATCAATTTAATGTAATTTTTACTTATTATACTATTATCAAACGAGGTTTCACAAGGAGGCTGACTTTGAATATTAAACCATATATCTTTTTCCATTCGGTAAAGGTTAAACCGAATATTATTCGCTTATTCGGTGAAATCACTATACATACACAATACACAGCGCATCTCTAATACATACACAACATTATTTATTTATTCATCAACAATTGATACAATAAAGATAATTATTAAACTAATTATTTGTAACTATTAAAGACAATAGTAAATGTAATTATCAGTGGTCGGAATTAGGTAGAGTTATTCATGTACTTACACTGATTTCATACAGCGAAAGAATAAAGTGGATATGCCTCAAACCCCGATATTAATTTTATTTATTTTTTGTGAGTCTAGGCTAGAAGCAAAAGTATTCGTTTGTATTTATAAAAAAGGCGAAATATGCGTATGAGAATTTGCTTAAGACTATCAATAATTTGTATTGTAAATTAATGTAAACTAATAAAATTTTTATGTTAATATTATCTTCGTTTTATTTGTCTATCTCTGACGTTGTTATTATTATTTAGTTGTAAGATTATTGGCCACATGGGATTGTCCATTAGAAATCCCGGGAAGGTCCACATTAATATCAACATTTCAATGTAAGTACATTAATAACTCTACCTAATTCCGACCTCTGGTAATTATTTATAAAAAAAGATTGGCCTCTTGACTGTTTTTAGAAATGTAGGTAGTTGTCGGATTTTTGACTGAAACACCGCGGGTAGTAATAAAATTCCTCTTTTATATGTCAAACGTTCCCCTCGTGTACGAAGGTGATGGAGATGCTTATAAGGAAAGGGGCGAGAGTGAACGAGAAGAACAAGGACGGACAGACCCCCCTCCACGTGGCCACGGAACACGCCCATTTAGACGCCATGGATCTACTACTGAGGCATGGTGAGTTGTGTTATATATTATATTTTCTGTATGCCGTAAAAAAGAAATTATTAATTAATTTATTTCCGCAATTTATTTTGAACTCTATCCACAATGTATTAAGGTTAAAAATCAAGTGGAGAAATATGACAGTTTTGTATAAATTGACGTACTGTTGACAACATATTATAGACATTTAGAAAACAATACAAATGTTAAAATCGCAATTGTAAAGTAGATGGTCTCATCGCTTACCAGCGATTTCTTTTAGGATTTGTAACGGAGCGATGTAAGGTTTTTTGGAAAGGATATTGAATTATTATACTGAAGCTTTGACGTCTACTTAATGACCAAATGATGATGAATGATAGAAAAACGTTACTTTTGAAGGGGTTTTATTTGATTGAAGTGGTATTATGTCCCAGCGCTGTGCTTGATGTCAAGTTTAAGGTGGTTTTGATAAAGTTGCGGTCACACACTAGCCCAAATACTAGCTTTGTAATCCATATGAATACATACACAAAATATTGGTTTACCCTAGTTATGAAAGAAGATGGACGATAACAGATTTATTTGAAATAGCGGTTCATGCATATGTACTATTTAAAATTACTTAAACTTTTAACCTGAATGAGAGTGGCAATGTAATATAGATAGATATAGTGTGCACCGTGGTGGTTGTGTATGTTAGTGGCGGTGGGTGGTGTTTGAATGGCGGTATTTTAATAGCGGTGTGTGAATGGCGTTATTCCGAAATGTAATTTGACATTATTCAAACAAAATGTATATTATATGGCTATAAATATATTCAACAAGCTTCCATCGAAACTAGTAGACTTACCGATTAACAGAAACATTTTTAAAAAAGCTTTGACGGAGTGGCTTTTGAACAAATCATTTTATTAGCAATTTTAGTAGAGTAGAAGTAGCTTTTAAATAAATAAATTATTATATACAATGACACTATAAATAAATTATTATATACAATGACACTATAAATAAATTATATACAATGACATATTTTATAATGTGTATGATAAAATTATTTTGTAATTGACATGGATTTATGTATTAAACATACTTGACTTATTATTTTTGTAACATATAAATTGATTCGAATTTTGAAATTATTACTATTAATTATTTTTAAACTATAAGACTGAAATAATATGTAATAGGAACTGAATCAAATGTTTTTAAGTTAATGATGTGCGAATAAAATAATATCATAGTTAATGCATGAATAGATTCAAATGTAAATTTATATATGTATTAAAACTATTGCACACTGTCAAACAGTAAATATGTGATACCCTTATTTTATGACATCTGTTACACCATATTTTTATGCAATAAATGATCGATTGATTGAATGGCGGTATGTGATGGCGGTGTGTGATGGCGGTTTGTGATGGCGTTGTGTTTGAATGGTGGTATGTGAATGGCGATATGCGAATGGCGGTGTGTGATGGCTTGTGACGGCGGTGTGTGATGGCTTGTGACGGCGGTGTGTGATGGCTTGTTACGGCGGTGTGTGATGTCGTTGTATGTGACGGCGGTGTGTGATGGCTTGTGACGGCGGTGTGTGATGGCTTGTGACGGCGGTGTGTGATGGCTTGTTACGGCGGTGTGTGATGTCGTTGTATGTGACGGCGGTGTGTGATGGCTTGTGACGGCGGTGTGTGATGGCTTGTGACGGCGGTGTGTGATGGCTTGTTACGGCGGTGTGTGATGTCGTTGTATGTTACGGCGGTGTGTGATGTCGTTATATGTGATGGCGGTGTGTGATGTCGTTGTATGTGACGGCGGTGTGTGATGGCTTGTGACGGCGGTGTGTGATGGCTTGTGACGGCGGTGTGTGATGGCTTGTTACGGCGGTGTGTGATGGCTTGTGACGGCGGTGTGTGATGGCTTGTTACGGCGGTGTGTGATGTCGTTGTATGTGACGGCGGTGTGTGATGGCTTGTGACGGCGGTGTGTGATGGCTTGTGACGGCGGTGTGTGATGGCTTGTTACGGCGGTGTGTGATGTCGTTGTATGTTACGGCGGTGTGTGATGTCGTTATATGTGATGGCGGTGTGTGATGTCGTTGTATGTGACGGCGGTGTGTGATGGCTTGTGACGGCGGTGTGTGATGGCTTGTGACGGCGGTGTGTGATGGCTTGTTACGGCGGTGTGTGATGGCTTGTGACGGCGGTGTGTGATGGCTTGTGACGGCGGTGTGTGATGGCTTGTGACGGCGGTGTGTGATGGCTTGTTACGGCGGTGTGTGATGTCGTTGTATGTTACGGCGGTGTGTGATGTCGTTATATGTGATGGCGGTGTGTGATGGCGGTGTGCGTTGTGCAGGTGGCGCGGTGAACGCGTGCGACTCGCGCGGCGAGAGCGCGCTGAGCGTGGCGGCGCGGCGCGACTCGGCGGCCGCGTGCCGGCTGCTGCTCGCGTGCGGCGCCGACGCGCGCCCGGGCACCGCGCCGCCGCCGCCCGACGGTACTGTACCGCACGCCAACACACCACACGGCTGTATATGTACTCGTATATATACAGTAACGTCGCGTTACTTACACCGTTTACAACTCGAGAAAGGCCGGAACGATTTTTGTGATTAATTTGTCCTTTTTAGGTTTAGAATAATAACCATTAAAAATATATTTTAACAAATTAAAAAATAAAATAGAGGACGTTTAAAACAAAGTCGTTTCCCGCTATCTATGCGCTGAGATCTTTTAAACTACACGAATACGTCAAATAGCTGTTTGATTATTCTCACTTCATTATAATAAATGTGTGCTTAAGTGTAAAGATACGTGTGTAATAGGGATGATGACTAATTTTTGTTTGTTTGTCCGTCAGGTAGAGTGTTAAAAAATATTAAACAAGTATTTTTTTCATTTTTTTCGTAATCATAAAATTACGGCGTTACATTGAGTTGAAATTCCGCATGACGTCACGTTAGGGTACGTTTTCTACTCAACTGTGACGTAGCGAGCCCCCACTCCTCAACTTTAATGCCTGTTAGAGTTGATGAATTCTATTTAATAAAAAAAAAGCTGTTCAACTTACTGGTGTCAGAAACTTATTAAGTTAGTACAACCGATTTATCTTAATTCGATTTTCTTTAATCTAGGGTTTTCATTTTGGTATCAGCTGGTGGCAAGAAACACAATATACTTTTATTTTTAAATTGACTGACCTAATCTAAATTTAAGCGAAATGATTAATTATGTAATATCAACACTGTATAGATATCTTTAAAATACATTAAGATTGACGAATATAGCCGAAGCGCATAATTTAAATAGTATATGTGTACGTGTGTACGGTACAGACGCGTGCGCGAACGCAGCGGCGTTGCGTCTCCTGGAGGCGGCGCGCACGGGCGACGTGGAGACTGCGCGCGCGATACTGGACGCCCGCCCCCGACTGGTCAACTGCCGGGACTTCGACGGCAGACATTCCACGCCGCTGCACTTCGCGGCCGGGTATGTTGTGTGCGCATACATACGCGGGGTTAGCGCGCGATACTAGATGCCCCCCCCCCCCCTCCGCTGGTCAACTGCCGGGACTTTTTTCATCAAATGCGCGCATTATAATATAGCTCTGTTCTGTTCACGAGAGCGATAACACCATACTGGAGCTTCCTCAGACTGGTTAACTACCGGGACTTCGAGGGCAGGACCGGGAACCGGAAAGTCACTACCGGAAAGTCCCCCCCCGGGACTTTTTTTCACCAAATGTTTGCATTATACTATAGCTCTGTACTGTTAAGAGACCGATAAAATTATCGAAGACGATTAAAAAATAGGGTTTTTCAGCACTATTAACTCTTGGAGCGCGTTATAATATCTTTACAATGTATAGTATAGAAATCGCTTTCCGTTATCTGTACGATTTTAAAATACACGACGGATTTTAATACGGTTTTCATATACAGGGTGATTTAAGAGGAATGTTTATCATGTATGATACAGGACAGGCGAAGCCGCCGGCGGAAAGCTAGTCAACTTATAATATGTAAATTGTTCCAGATATAATCGTCTGCCTCTCGCCCAGTTGTTGCTGCAGAGAGGCGCCGATGTTCACGCTAAAGATAAAGGGTAAATATGCAGTTTTTGTACACATGTCCATTAACATTTAATGACAACTTTCAACTGTAATGAATGTTGAAAACGCTAGTTTATTTATATTTTTCTTGTTCACGGAAAAATACAAAAAAAAGTTGTTATATAAAAAAAAACCTTATATAAAATTGAAATGTATTCCAGCTTTTGATGGATTACGATAAAGATTCAAAAAAATTCTTCTAATAAGTACAAAATCAGGTCTTTAAAAAAAATCCTCACACACGAATATAAAAGGGTCTAATATCCTCAATTTAAATCTATCAAGACCTTTCAATTTGACCGTTATAAAATATTCACGAAGTTCACGCTACAACTATTTGACATGTGATTGAGATTGCGTTCGCTACGTTTTTACAAGGTATTGATGAACGAATGACAAGCGTTAGTTATTGAGAAATGTTCATGCATACTCGCTGATTTTTTCAGCTTCTAACATCACCTAATAATACGTGATTGCTAATGCGTTTGGCCGCCATTACGTGACGTAATTGGTGACGTAATAGCGTCCAACATTCAGTACCGTCAACAAATAAATGTTGGTCGATGAATACATTTATTCATTTGGGTTATTTTGTCTTATATCATTATTAATTATGGCTATTTTTTAAGAAATTATCCCTTTTAATTTGTCATCGCGTTATTACTAAATAAATGTTTTTTTTTTCTATATATTCTAATGTTAACATATAACTTGTCCTTTACCAAAAAATCATCCAATAAATTAACAAACCAAAAGTTATAAAAATTACAATAAAAATGTTTTGTGGATTATACATAAGTATTTCAATATCTATACTAATATTATAGATTTAAAGAGTTTGTTTGTTTGAACGCGCTAATCTCAGGAACTACTGGTTCGAACTGAAAAATTATTTTTGTGTTGAATAGACCATTTATCGAGGAAGGCTTTATGCTATATAACATTACGCTGCAACTATTAGGAGCGAAGAAATAATGGAAACCGCTGACGAAGTCGCTGGCGGCCACTAGTTTTAAATAAATAATTTATCTCTTGCCTTTTGTGCTATCTATACTCTCTATTTTCAAATTATCATTAGTCAAGGTACCAGCGCGTCAGCAATTTACGGGACTTATATTTATGAGAACCTATTTTATAAATGTACAGCGGTCTGGTCCCACTCCACAACGCTTGCTCGTACGGCCACTTCGAGGTGACCGAACTTCTGGTGTCTGCGGGCGCGGGCGTGAACGCGGCCGACCTGTGGAGGTTCACGCCCTTACACGAGGCGGCCGCCAAGGGGAAGGCGGATATAGTACGGTTACTGCTCAAGGTAATAACTGTAAAGAAAATAAATAACGCTTCTAGTAATAAGATCGCCGATAGGGGTGTGGACAATTTTATTTTTAATACATTTTTTTTATACATGACATGACATAACTTTTGTCATGGCGTCGCAATGACGTCACAGCGCTGTGAAACTAATGTTCTATGTATGCATAAGCTGGCATTCTCTATCTTCTGATATGAGTAAGAGGGGCGTGACCTCACGCGCTGTTTGCGGCCACGTGACAACGAGTTTGAAATATTTATATTTTCGTAATTGGTTTAAGCAATATTATAAATATTATAAGTATAAAAGTGTGATTATCGGTAATAGTATATTAAACGCTACCTTGTACGTCTCCTATTTTCATTATAGGAAAATAGGAGATTATATATATATATATATATATATGACCTCAACACTACTTACTATACACCACTATTTTTAAATTGGCTTAACTTATTTAAATTTAAGCGAAATGATTAATTATGTAATAACAACTCAATATATATATAGATATCTTTAAAATACATTAAGATTGCCGAAGCTTGACGAATATAGCCGAAGCGCAAAATCTAAATAGTATACGTGTACATGTCTTCGCTTATAGATTTGGTATAAAAGTAAAAAATACCGCTTACAATTACAATAATATTGGTATATATAAACTACGCTGCTTATGGAGTGATATATTAATAGTAAATACATTATATAAAAGTACAATGACACATATATATTCTAATCAGAAATACTACTTACTTTAAAATGAGTAATGGCGGCCCTCGTCCATTAATCACGTTAGGCTCGAAAGGGGAGGGATTCGTTAAAAATCACAAAATTTCACAAGGGGTGGTGGGGGGTGTAGTCATATATCACATGTATTTATTTTTTCCTCTACGCTCGATTAATAAACCAAAAAGCGACGTCAAAAATTATGATTTTTTGTTTTTTTAAGTACACGTTTTTGGTTGAATGAAGGAGGGGATAATCTTTAACCTCACCATGTATCATAAAGGGAGGGGGGGAGGGGACAAAAATTGTTGAAAAAAAACACCACGGTACTAATGGACGGCCCATAAAGTATCTATTTCCGTAAGATAAAAGAGACGTTGTGAAAGTTTAATTTTTTTTTTTTTTTCTAAGCACGGAGCAGATCCTACTCGCCGTAACCGCGACGGTTTAACGCCACTACAACTGGTGCGAACCGGCGACTCTGATACTGCGGACGCGCTGAGGGGGGATGCCGCGCTACTCGACGCCGCCAAACGTGGCGACGCGCCCAGGGCCAGGTCTATGTGCACTTTGATAGTTGATAGTTGCCACGTCACATTTTGTACTTTGTTAGTTGTTAACTAACTATTCGTTGCCAGCTCACTTTACACCTTGATAGTTGCCAACTGATAGTTGATAGTTGCCAGGTCGCTGTACACTTTGATAGTTGACTAACTAACTATTAGTTGCCAGATCACTGTACACTTTGATAGTTGCCAACTAATAGTTGCCAGGTCACTTTACACTTTGATAGCTGCCAACTGATAGTTAATAGTTGCCTGGTCACTGTACACTTTGATAGTTGCCAACTAATAGTTGATAGTTGCCAGGTCACTTTACACTTTGATAGTTGTCAACTAACTATTAGTTGCCAGATCACTTTACACTTTGATAGCTGCCAACTGATAGTTGATAGTTGCCAGGTCACTTTACACTTTGATAGTTGTCAACTAACTATTAGTTGCCAGCTCACTTTACACTTGATAGTTGCCAACTGATAGTTAATAGTTGCCTGGTCACTGTACACTTTGATAGTTGCCAACTAATAGTTGATAGTTGCCAGGTCACTTTACACTTTGATAGTTGTCAACTAACTATTAGTTGCCAGATCACTTTACACTTTGATAGCTGGCAACTGATAGTTGATAGTTGCCAGGTCACTTTACACTTTGACAGTTGTCAAGTAACTATTAGTTGCCAGCTCACTTTACACTTTGATAGCTGCCAACTGATAGTTGATAGTTGCCAGTTCACTTTACACTTAGATAGTTGTCAAGCGTGGCGTTGCCCAGAGCCAGTTGATAGTCGTCAGGTAAAAAATTGTGTTACTTATAAACCCTTTATATTTTAATAGCTATTATTCATCACAGGAAACTAATAACGCCACAAAACGTGAATTGCCGAGACGCGCACGGCAGGAACTCCACTCCTCTACATCTAGCCGGTAAGTATTCATAAATGTATCATTAGCTTTTCCATTTAGTAGCTCGGTGGCGTAGAGGATAAGCGCCGCGACCCGCAATCGTTCTCGTTAAGCAACTCTCGCAAGGGTCGGTCACGGGATGGGTGACCAAAAAATTATTATCTCGAGCTACTCCGTGCTTCGGAAGGCACGTTAAGCCGTTGGTCCCGGCTGCATTTGCAGTCGTTAATACCCTCCAATCCGCATCGGGCCAGCGTGGAGGGTCATGACCCATCCTCTTTAACCATCCATAAGGAAGGCCTGAACTCCTGCAGTGGGGACGTAAAAGGGCTGATGATGATAGCTTCCCCGTGTGCTCTCCTGAGTTTTATTTGAAACTGATGGTAATGGTTATTTATTTTCGTCATTGTCACAGCCGGCTACAATAATTTGGAGGTGGCCGAGGCGTTACTGGAGGCGGGGGCGGCCGTCTCGGCCCGGGACAAGGGCGGTCTGGTCCCGCTCCACAACGCGGCGTCTTATGGCCACCTGGAACTTGCAGCTCTGTTATTGAGGGCCGGTACACCGCCTAACGCCGCTGACAGGTCAGTGATAACTGGTAGATGTCACAGAGTATAATGAGGATCCCAAATATACCTATACTCGTAGTCATTTATTTATTTTTTGCCTAAAACTAGAGGCAAATGGCGGAATTAGTGCCATAGAGGTATTATTATCTCTCAGTCATCCAGTATGTGTGATTTTAAAAATTCTTTCACCTACGGGAACCTACATCATATGCGGTGAACATAGGCTATAATTTATCCTGAAAAACAGCAAATAAAGGGATAAAAATGGGAGTGAAAGTTTGTATAGGAAATTAAAACGTTACCATGGTAACCATTCTTAATGAAAAATGCTGCCTTTTTTCAGATTTCTCATATAAATATACCATATAATAATACTATAATTACAGATGGGGCTTCACACCTTTACACGAAGCAGCGCACAAAGCGCGGACGCAGCTTTGCGCGCTACTGGTGAGTTGTAGTAACAGACAACAGGGGAAAACTATTTTAAATAGTTGTTTGGATACATATTGTTTGTTAGTCCGGCAGATTATTAAAGAATATTATATATACGTATTTTTTATATTTTTTTCTTATTCAATAAATTACGGCGATATATTGAAATGTCGCATTACATCACGCTTTTGTACATTTTCTACTCAACTGTGACGTAGCGAGCCCCCACTCCCCAACTTTAATGCCTGTTATCTATGTTATTTCTTGTTTAAATTGCGGTGACGGAGAAAGAATACATAACTCACCGCCCCTTCCTTTCCTGTGGGTGTCGTAAGAGGCGACTAAAAGAATTCGAGCTCAGATCTGCTCGCAACTGGTGGTAGGGTTTAATCCCGCCTGGTTAGTTACCACCGTACACACATGGTGAAAAACCCGTGAAGTGCTCGCTCGTAGAGCGCGTTTCGGGATCAGCCAGCGTACAACCAGAGCTCGGGACGACATTGCCGCGATTGTTTCGGTCCGGTGGGTGCCTCCGTCGAACCAGTGCCAGGAGGACTGCATCGACCCGCCAGCCAGGGAGACCCGTAGAAACGGCTGACCGCTGGCCGCCCGTGGTACAGTACAGGGGCCCAAGCGTGCCTAACCAGCTCGTGAGGCTGCCCTATCATGCCACGCATAATCTTGGAGTGGACCGTCGTGCCGGTTGGTGACCGGAGCGTGGGTCCCGGCGGCCACTCCCGGGGGGGTACGGGGGCCCTTCCGTCTGGCGGATCGGTGCTACTCCTCTGTGGGCAACACCTGGGGAAACAGGCGCCCATATTTTTGACTGGAGCAGTCGCGACAATGCCCTCCCGCTTCACGTCTCCTCACCCCTTATCCTTATGGCAGCCACAGCAACACGTTCCGGTCGTACAGCGGTGCACAACCCCACGCCTTCGCTGTTTGAGGTTGAGTTCTCTAATATACGGGGACTCCATGCCAACCTCAATGCTGTCCACCAACACCTAGAGACAGCACGGCCTGCAATGTTGTTTCTGACGGAGACGCAAATTCTCCGCCCGGCCGATACAAGCTACCTTCACTATCCCGGCTACGCACTTGAAGAGTCCTTCAAAGCGAAAGCCGGTGTATGCTTGTTTGTCCGGGCGGATGTTTGCTGTCACCGATTGCGCTGCCTAGAAGACCCTTCCTTTTCCCTCCTAGCGGTGCATATAGACTTAGGTCATCAGACTCGAGTCTATGTGTGCCTCTACAGATCCCACACGGGCGATGCGGAGACAACTCGACTTTATGACCACCTCAGTCGGGCGGCAGATTACGCGCAGGAGCAGTATCCTAACGCAGAACTGGTTTTCTTGGGGGACTTCAACGCTCACCACGAATCGTGGTTAAGTTCCTCCAAGACGGACCATGCGGGGAGATCAGCCCACGCATTCGCTCTCACGCATGACTTGACTCAAATGGTCGATCAGCCCACCAGGATCCCAGACATAGTCGGTCAAACGCCTTCCTTACTGGACCTTCTGCTTACGAGCCATCCCGTCGGTTATCAGGTTGATGTTCGTGCCCCACTGGGCAATTCCGACCACTGCTTGATATCCACCAAAGTGCCGCGAATCGAGCCCCCTCAACCTCCGAGGACTCGACAACGCGTATGGCACTATGGCTCAGCGGATTGGGACGGCATGCGCGAGTACCTTGCATCCGTTCCTTGGAAGCAGCGCTGCTTTAGTGAGAAGGATCCGACAACGAGCGCCGTTGCTATTACTGAGGAGATCGGTATTGCTATGGAATACTACATTCCGCACTCCGATCTGATCAGTATGGGCAAACACAACCGCTGGTTCAATCGCGATTGTGCTAACGCTGTTGCATCTAAACAGCTGGCATATCGAGCTTGAATCAGGGGTCGTGCTCGGAGGGATCCCGATATCGACTCAATAAAAGCAGCCTACAATCAGGCTTCCAAGTCCTGTAAGAAGGCTTACATCAGAGCGGATGCCCAGCGCGTCGCACGTATTGGCCATGAGCTAGTCACGCACCCTACGGGCTCCCGTAGCTACTGGCGCCTCGCCAAGGCCGTGCAAAACAATTTCTGCCAGCCCTCGCTGCCACCGCTTCGATGTCCAGATGGAACATTAGCTCACAAGCCGCAGGAGAAAGCCGACCTCTTGGTAAGCCTCTTCGCGGCTAATTCCCAAATCAATGACTGTAATGCACTGCCACCAACGTTACCTTCTAGTGGCTTCACTATGCCTGATATTCATATCAGGCAGCGTGATGTGCGTGCGGAACTACAGTCACTCGATGTCCGGAAAGCTAGTGGTCCTGATGGCATTCCTGCGGTTGTTCTAAAAATGTGTGCAGCGGAGTTGACTCCTGTACTTACGCGCCTATACCAGCTATCTCTTTCTTCGGGTCGTGTACCTGAGGCTTGGAGAGAGGCCATTGTGCAGCCAGTGCCCAAAAAGGGAGATCGGTCAGACCCTGCAAACTACCGCCCTATAGCTATCACCTCTGTGCTGTGTAAAGTCCTGGAAAGGATTATTAACTCCCAACTGATCCGATACCTAGAAGATCACTCCCTTGTAAATGATCGTCAGTATGGCTTTAGACCAAAACGATCAACTGGTGATCTTCTAGCGCACGTCATGCACCTCTGGGGTGAAGCTATCGACAAGCGCGGTGAGTCCTTGGCTGTCAGTCTTGACATTGCTAAGGCATTTGACAGGGTTTGGCACAAGGGACTTATCTCCAAGCTTCCGGCCTACGGTCTGCCCGTTCAACTCTGCACCTGGATAGCCGACTTTCTGCGTGAGCGTAAAATCCGTGTTCTTTCTGACGGATGCTCTTCACAGCTTATGTCAGTCAACTCCGGTGTGCCTCAGGGCTCCGTTCTATCCCCTACACTTTTTCTGCTGCATATCAATGACATGCTTCCACTTGGAAATATCCATTGCTATGCAGACGATAGCACAGTGCATGTGGGATATCACGGGGCTCCTACAGTCGGACGGGCGGAAATCCTGGAGAAAAGGGAGAATCTTGTCATTGAGCTCAATCACGTTCTGGATCTCATATCGAAATGGGGTGCTGAAAATCTGGTTGAGTTCAATGCCAAGAAAACTCAGGTTTGCGTATTTACCGCCAAGACCCCTCCATTCGCTTCCCTTCCCTCTCTTCAGGGCACAACCTTGCCTCTACAGAGCAGCATCAACATGCTCGGGATGGAAGTGCGCTGTGATCTGAATCCCAAAAACCACATCGAGTCCGTTATTAAAACAGCATCTCGTAAACTCGGTGTCCTGAATAAGGTGCGGCGTTTTTTCACGCCCGAACAACTGTGCCTGCTATACAAAACGCAGGTCCGGTCATGCGTGGAGTATTGCTCGCACCTTTGGGATGGCTCCGCTAGGTACTTACTCGATGCTTTGGATAGATTGCAGCGCCGCGCAGTACGCATTATTGGCAATGGTGAAGTCACCAAGAACCTAGAAAGCCTGCAACTGCGCCGAGACGTTGCTTCGCTCAGCGTCTTCTACCGTCTCTACCATGGTGAATGCTCTGAAGAACTCTTTTCGCTTATCCCTCCATCTCCCTTCCTCCTCAGGACCACACGTGCTGGTTTGCGTTGCCACCAACTAACTGTGGCAGCGATTCCTTCGCGTACAAAGAAATTTGGCGACTCATTTCTTTGTCGTACTACCAAAAAATGGAATTGTCTCCCGGCCCATGTATTCCCTCCTTCCTATGACATGGGGTCCTTCAAGCGGGGCGAGAAGAAGCACCTTGCAGGTCGGCAAGGTGAGGTTGGCTAGTGCAGTACCTACGTACTGTTTTCACTAGCTGTCCTCACGTTTGGACTACGCCTCCGCTTACCACCAGGTGGAGCGCAGTCATTTGCCCTCCTATACAAAAAAATAAAATAAAAAAAAAAAAAAAATAATAAAAAAATAAAAAAAAAAATCTAATATTTTGTTATAATCGGAATAACTATATAGAATTTCTTTTTTTTTTCCCAGGCCTCACCCCTATTTGTAGTAGCAATAGCCCTGCGATTCTGTAAAAATCCAGACCCGAATTCGAATTCACTCATGTGTCAGAATTCACGAAACGCTATTGATTCCATTTTTGTATAAAAATACAAAACAAAATTGATTGAATCATACGTGTCACAGATATTCTATCCATGTCATTTCGAAACTCACTTCACTTATGCCACGTAACGTTATTACCCCTTCAAAGATGAGCGGATGCCACTTTTTGAAGTAGATTCGAATATGGGTTTAGATTTATTTAGATTTTTACTTTATAAATAAGGCATGTATTATACAGGGTTACTTTTTTACGAAGTTGAATAATGGCATATGGCTATTGCTTACTTATTATTTTATGCGTGAGTTTCGCTAAGTTATTTACGAAAATGTGGACGTATAATAATATAATTTATCTCTAGTTTAGAATTCTACGAAAGTGTATATAAATGTCTTAGGAATTTTATTTATTTGCGGTGTTAATTTTTATTTTCTGTTGACATATCTATAGAATTAACTAAATTGTGCGCGCGGTGGCATGTGTGAATCATCCTTTTAAAGTACGTGTACACTGACTTTATGTACAGCCAAATACAAAACAGTAATTTTAACAAATTGAAAATGAAAAAGTATAGATGTGACGAGCAGTAACTATCGTAAATTAGTATAAATTATTTTCTTTTAAAACAAGGTTATAGGAACCTACTTTGAGGAATTTATAATATTTACTCTTTGTGAAAATAACTTAATTTGTTAAATACATGTTTGTTGAACTTATTGAATCGCTACTAGAAATTTCAAACTATGATTTCATTAAGATTCGCTGCTCTCGACAAAGGTTAGTTATGAAATCTGATACCATGTCAAAAAGTTTTGTTCGTGAAAAACGAGACATTTTCGATCACGACTGTACATGCAAAAAAGCGATAAGAACACGTGTCGCTCTGGCGACGACTAAAGCGTCACTGTGAGGCGTTCAAGTATTACATAACTCAATTTACGTTACAGGGATGTGCGTTACGCAATATTAGTTTTTTTTAATTGAAAACAAAAATATGCCATTAAGGTCTCCCAAAGTAAGGTAAAAGGTAAAGAACATTGCTACAGCCAGTTTTATGAAAGCGAGTTCATACCGTAATGTCCTTAAAAGAGAGAGATTTGCATCATCGGTTGTTCATGGCCCAATAAAACCTCTATACTGACTTGTTAACGCAACTTTGCCAAAAAATGCCAACCAACTTTTCACTGTTAGTAACTTTGTATAATGTTACGTAACGTTTGTGGAGAGGGGGGATCAGAAAAACATTACGGCGCGTTACATGGGAGGGGAGGGAGGGTTAAAAATCTTCAATTATCGCGTTACGTAATACTGGAACGGTGCGGTGGCGTAATGCGCTGTGACCAGCGATCGTTGTTTGTTAATGTCTTTCCCAAGGATCGGTCACGGGATGGGTGACCAAAAAAATAATTATCTTGAGCGACTCCGTGCTTCGGAAGGCACGTTAAGCCGTTGGTCCCAGTTATATTTGCAGGACGTTAATACGCGTGCAGGGTCATGGCCCATCCTCCTTGACCTTTAATAAGGAAGGCCTGAAATTTGCCTTCGCCTATGCACATATTTTTTTGAATAGTTTGGAGTAAGCTTTTATATAATCTATGAATTTTTCAGAATGGTTATGCTATCTAAGATTGTAAAACTCATATAGTCTGTTTCTACTTCTATAAATACCGGTCGTGGCCCAGTCACAGCACTGTAGTTTCTGCATAATAATTTTCTTCGTTTTAAAAGGGAAAGCTCGTTCGGATTCATTCTTTATGAGATAAAAAGGTTGCTATAAAGTACATCGGGGTCGTCATGTGACGGGATGTGAAAGGGCTGATGACGATGATGAATGCTCAAACGGCCCCTTACAATCCGAACTATCTATACGTACGCAACAGTTGGCGCACGGCGCGGACCCGTACCTGAAGAACCAGGAGGGGCAGACGGCGCTCGAGCTGGCGGGCGCCGCGGACGTGCGCTCGCTGCTGCAGGACGCCATGACGGGGGCCGCGCACGCGCCCCCCGCCGCCGCCCCCGCGCCCCCCGCGCCCGCCCCCGCGCCCGCGCCCCCCGCGCCCGAGCCCGTGCTCATGCCCAGCGGGGACACCGTGCCCATGCACCTGCCGGTCAGTGTACACTGATATTTGCCTATAGATCTAATCATTCTTCGAGTTAAGTGTACTTTTATTATTTTGTTTTTTTTTTCTGGTTTTTTCTGGTTCACCAACGGTCACTACTGTAGTGATCACTCTCTAGCTAAGTAACTGTACACTGTTTGGAGAATAAACAATATTTGATTTGATTTGAAGTGTGTCGGGGAATCTTTTGTAGATTAATAGAGGCAGTTCTACAAAATACTTTATAAGTGAAACAATTTTTGGAAGGTTTCATCGCGTTTGTATTCAGATTTATTGAAGTTTCTTCACTTCATTTCGAGAAGTAACAATGACTTTTTTTTATAATTAAAATACTCTTAGCTCCTATCTCATGCCGGTTCAAACCGAAAAGGAAGATTACTAACCGGCAAGAAAAGAATGCCATAAACTAAATATTCTAATGTCAATGACCAGTATTAACCAAAAATCGTTCAGAAAATTAATTCATAGTAGCAGTGCACGGATGTTATAAATACTAACACGATGCACCAGTGTTTCCCAAACCTTGTAATTTTCACCCTGTCCGTTCGTGACCCACTTGATACTTATAAACCTGACCTAGAAAAGTTTTATTAAATTATTATTGCCTATGTTTAAGAGATACCCCAAGGGTCAAATCTGGGCCTAACTTTGTTTAATATATTTATTTGAAAAATATACTTTTTATTATATTAATGATTTAATCAAAACTCTATAAACGTTAATTGTAACATAATTACATTTCCATAACTTTTTATAATTAGGTTGTGGCCAGTAATTATTGGGCCGAAGGATCTCGTGGTAGTTTAGAAGACGCTGCAGGTAGACCAGCATCAGCTCTGTCCACATCAGAGTCTTTGCAGACTTTCTTATCCAGGTGAATATTAAATGATTCTTTGGCGCCTCGCTACCTTTGTTACTTCAACTCTAGAATTTAATTATATCCTTTATAAGCAGTGATGGTAGATGGATTAAATGGTGAAACTTGTATTGCAGGGGTTAATGTGATAGTAGCTGGATTAATTTGTGATACTTGTATTATAGGGTTAATGAGCTCTCTTGTCATTTCTATCAAAAGCTTAAATAAAATCAATAAATAAGTTTGCATTAAAACTATATTGTAGTGATTGTAAAAATTATTTTAAATAAAAATCTAAATATTCTGCGAAAGCAATTAGCTTATTCTGCCTATTTGCTCGTATATTTATAACATTATGTGTATGAATAACGTGGATAAGACATTTTTGGAAGTAATATTATTGCTATTCGTTTCGATATCGAAACGGAGCTATCGGAAATCTATTTTTATGCCTTGAAATCAGTATATTTTTTTTGTAACATCACATACATTGTTGAGATTCCAAGATGAGTAGCTAAAGCCTCCGTATTGTGAAGTATCTGAGACAACGAAGGTACCACATCACCTAGACCCGAGACAATAAAGAAAAGTTCATTTTCTACATTGACCCCACCGGCAATGGAACCCGCGATCTCAGATTTCGGCTCGGTGTCTCGAGTGAGTGTCGGTAGAGTGTGGTCTAGTGTACGTGTACGTATACGTGTATGTATACGTATACGTGTACGTGTGCGTGTACGTGCAGCATCGGGCTGGAGCAGCTGTGCGGCGTGCTGGAGCGCGAGCAGATCACGGTGGACATCCTGTCGGAGATGTCGCACGAGGACCTGCGCGCGGTGGGCGTGGCCGCCTACGGGCACCGCCACCGGCTGCTGAAGGCCGCGCGCCACTCGCTCAGGGCCGCATCAGGTACACGAACACGCTGGTTTATAGCACATGTAAACACACAGATAGAATAGAAATGTAATTGGGAGTTATCAAGTCGTACCTGAAGTACGACTTGATAACTTGAGTTTTAGATATGCGCCGAATAGTGGTTTCACCGAATAATATTCAGTACACAACGTGGTACTAATAGTTGTCTCATAAATTAGTTAATTTTTTTTATATACTCGTATATATCTATACTAATATTATAAAGCTTAAGAGTTTGTTTGTTTGAATGCACTAATCTCAGGAACTACTGGTTCGAATTTAAAAATTCTTTTTGTGTTGAATAGACCATTTATCGAGGAAGGCTTTAGGCTATATAACATCACGCTGCGACTATTAGGAGCGAAGAAATAATGGAAAACGCGGACGAAGTCGCTGGCGGCCATTACAAAATATAGAAAAGAAAATTAGTAGAGACGCCGAATACTCATTTGATATTCAGTATTCGGCGTGTTCTACATCTTTTTCGCTATTTGAATTTGACCGAATATAACTGCTAAGTAGATTATTTACTGATAAAACTTACATGTAAACACACGGGTAGTATAGAAATAAAGTTGGGAGTTATCAAGTTGTAATTAATTTTTAGATGTGCGCCGAATAATATTCGGTTCAAGGTTTACCGAAACGGATATTCGGCCTAATTATTCGGTTTACCGTTTCGTTGTTTTTTATTAAACCGGAGTGTTTCTCGGCGCTTTTGGTAGTATAGCGTGTTTATAGTGAACGATTATTACGCAAGCAAGTAGCCTATATGAAGAAATAAGCAACAGACTCTTGCTGGAGAGAGCTTGATGGTTTGCACTATAAATTGGAATATGTATGTTTCTTTTTGCTTATCTTCTATTTTATCTGTTGAGAGTGTGCTCTTTAAATGAATTCATAAAAAAACTTAATTTAAAATGTTACCTATAGTTAATGATTAAACGAACTTACCTGTACGTGAAGTTCAATCATAATTATACGAAGGCTTCGTCCGAAGAGATTAGCATATAACACTTGTAGTATCGCATAGAGATCGCCACTATTACACTATATTTGAGGGTATTTCCTCGGTTTTATTTATAACTTTTTTTTTTATTTTTATTTTAAAAGGCGGGTAGATCTATTTAACCTCCCAGCTCGAGCAGCCATTTTGACTCATTTAGTTTAGAGCTACATGTAATATTTCAGGACAAGAGGGGTTTATATATAGAATAACGGGAGGGGGGGATGCTAATCTCTTCGGACGAAGCCTTCGTATAATTATGATTGAACTTCACGTACAGGTAAGTTCGTTTAATCATTAATTATACTCGGCTTCGTCCTCTTAGATTAGCATATAACACTTGTAGACTTTTAGAGCCAAAATGTCGTGAAATATTCAGCTACAGACCATAATGAAGGTAAATAGAAACAGCGAATTACTGCTTCAGAAAAATAATCAACAATTATATATTATTAATTTATTGAACTATTCAGCACAGCTTCAGCAAAAGATACATTATCTTGATCAACGTTTAAAGGCCTATTATAGAATTTATAAAAGGTATTAGAGGAGCCAGTCCAGCCAGCAGTCCTGCGGACGGTGTCAAGGCTGACACCGAGTCGGTGCGCAGCCGACGTGGCGGCGTGCCGCGCGCTGTGCGCGCCGAACACCGACACGTCGATGCCGCTCTCTGCTAGCGTGCTCCGCACCCAGCGACTGAGGGTCTGGGTGGATACGGCCGTGTACGGCTTACGGAAGCTTATAAACAGCGTTTTAACATCTCCTCGCAATGCAGAAGTCTTAGCTTTGTATGCTAATAGCGTTCTTCCGGGGCAAATTGCCGGGTTAGTGCTATAGAAGGGTAACTTTAGCATTGGTTGACATGAACCGATCCTTGAAGTTTTGATTAAGCTTGGAATCGCAATAGTAATCTCATCCTGGGATTCTGATATATTATCCAAGGTAATTTTAGACATCGTTTGCATTCGATGCCCGGTTATTAAAGCCAAAAGTGTAATTAATTTTTTAGAAATTATTTCAAGAGAAAGATCATCATTTGGGTAATGATTTTTTAAGTAATTTAAAACAGTCGAAGTGTTCCAAGTCACATCGTACTTCGGTAAAGGAGGTCGAAGGCGAAAAACGCCCCGGAAGAATCGTTTGATTCTATCATCTTGACCTATGTATTCACCTATTATCAAAGCTAATGCTGACCGACATGTGTTGAGTGAACTGTACTGAGTTCCTTCTGAATATAACTTAGCTAAGAAATTAATTACATCCGGAGTTTGAGCATAGTAAAAATCAACATTACACATTATACAATAATTAAACCATTTCTTTAAATAAACATCATACTGTTTAAAGGAACTTGGTGACAGTGACGCTAATACTACATTTAAGGCGGAAGTCGGAACGCTTCGCTTCAAGAACGCCGTCCTGATAAAACTCCGACCACCAGGATAAGTTTGTTGTGTATGTTGTGTTGACTGGAAACATGAGAAACAATCAGATTTTCATTTGACTTAAAAAATAACAATTCTGATACTAGAAGTTGTTTAAATAGGGGGTACCAAGGTTGAGTCGGCCATTGTGGTACTACGACAATACCCTGAGCTTGATCAGCTACTATTTTTCGTAAGGTTTTTAATATCATAGAGAAGGGTGGGAATGCATAAAAGAAGTACTCCGTCCATCTCACCGTGAAGGAGTTGATTGCATGTGCCTCAGGGTCACGATGCCATGAAATAAACGTAGGACATTTGCAGTTGATCCTATTAGCGAACAAGTCTATAACGGGCTGACCGAATTTTTGGACAATGCGACGGAACGCTTCGTTTTTGAGTTCCCACTCTATATCTGGGTGTATTCGCCTGGATTCAGAGTCTGCTTCTTTATTGTCTTCTGACCGTATATAGGAAGCATAGACAAACAAATTACGTTGCTCACACCACTGCCACAATTCCTTAGTTACTTGTGTGAGATGGGGGAATTGTATACCTCCCATTCGATTAATGTAAGATATAGCAGTGGTGTTATCTATACGAAGCAGAATCTGACAGTTTTCCGAATTTCTGGCGAAAACCTTTAAACCGAAAAAAGCAGCCAGTATTTCCAGATAGTTGATATGCTGGCTACTTTCTTGGTTACTCCACTGACCACTCGCCCGGTCGTCTCCACAAACTGCACCCCACCCCGTTGTTGAGGCGTCTGTGAATATTTCCAGATCGTAGCTGTCCTCTTTGATCTTATTAACCGAGCGTTGAATCGCGTGATACCACCAATTGAGGTCTGACAATACATTGGCTGGAATTAACATTTGCCGCTCGTAATCTTCGTGGTTTTGTAAACTTAAATATTTTAGACGTTCAAAATATTTTGTGTATAACCATCCATATTCGATAGCTGGGCAGGCTGAGATGAGAAGACCTACAAAGCGCGCAAAATCTCTAATCTTGCATTGTTTTACGTTGAACATTTTTTCTATCTCTGTCTTTATACGATTCACTTTTTCTGCAGGCAAACTGACCTGGAAATATTCGGAGTCGATAATATATCCGAGAAACACGCACATTGTGCTGGGAGTTTGACAGCTTTTCTCTTCATTTAAGAGAAATCCTAGAGCTGATAGTAAATATTTTGTGTGTGTAACGTTTTTTACACAATCTTTGTAATTCTGTGCTATAAGTAGCCAGTCATCTAAATAGACTGTAGAAATAAAGCCTGCTGCTCGCAAGAGACGAGCGACTGGTTTCATCACTTTTGTGAAAACATAAGGTGCGGTGCTTAGACCAAATGGCAAAACGTTAAATTCGTACAAGTCAGGGCCCCATTGAAAACGCAAATATTTTCTATGATCTTCATGAATTTTAATAAGAAAATATGCATCCTTGAGATCAAGCTTTGCCATAAAACAATTTTTAGTAATCAACTTCAGAGCAGTACGTAAGTCCTCAAGTTTGAAATGGGTTGTATTGATAAATCTGTTAAGTTGTTTTAAATTCAGGATAAACCTCTTTTTGCCATTCGGTTTGGGCACCAGAAATATACTAGAGATGAATTGATCATCGCATGGTGCGCATTTTGATACAACGCCTATTGAAAGCAGCTCATCTATAGCCTCGCAGAAGTGGTGACAATCAGGGTCATCAAGAGTTCGCGCCTGAGGGATGCAAAACTGAGATACAGGCCGAGCAAAGGGTATTTTATACCCCTTGATGTATGAAAGTACATAAGGATCGCTAGTGACGAGAGACCATTGGCGGTGGAAGGCAGCTAGTCTGCCGGCGTGACTTACTGTTTCTAGCGGCGACTGGAGCGTGGCTGCGGCTGTGACTTCTTCGATGAGCTGGCGCGCGGATTCCTCGTCACCGCAGACGTCGTGGTTTCCTTTGCCCTCGAAACTGCTGTCTGCTTGCGGCCCGAGGTCCGCCAGTTTTTTGACGAAGTGGGAGCTGGTTTAGAATTGGCTTTTGATTTCATAAAAGAGTTTGCTGCCTTAAGATCTGCACCTGATTTGTTTATAGCTTTTGCAGCTTTTAGTGTCTCTTGCAAATTTTCGCCAAATAAAAGGTTGTCAATTTTTGCGTTTTTCATTTGCTCCTTCATTTCATTTTTTACCGATGATAGGACGTAGTTGCGTCTTGTCAAGGAGTCGTTATGCTGACAATCGCAGAGCATACGACCGGTATCTATTAGCAGGCGTAATATGTCAGGGTGTTTTTCATTAAGTGACAAAAGTGAGGTAATGCCCTGACTGAGAGATGAAATTGCCGCAGCCAGCAATTTCTGTTTCGTTTCAATCGCTTTGTCCCTTTTAACGACCGGTTCTGTCAAGGCAGCTCTGACTTCTGGGTTTAAAACTGGTGCATTAATTAATTTACAGTTGCTTGGTATGAGATATTTTTCAGAAAGTTCTTTTCGTATCTCTTTTTTCAGGCCCGCGGTCGAACAGTGTTCAAAACGAATGGCAACCTCCTTGTGGATTTCTGGGCCAAAATTGTTAGTTTGCGTCGGATCTATACCGAGTATTTCCATCAGGTCGTCATCCAAAGCATTTTCAGTATCACCTTCTACAAAAGGCTCGAGTTCGTTCGGTTGTTCGACTCTAGAAGACGATCCCGGCTGCGCTTGGGCTTGGATGGCCTTGGTGGCAGACGCCCTGGCGGCGACGGTGGCGGGCGCGTGGACAAGTGCAGTGGATACAGTCGGCGCACAGGCTGGAGCAGCGCCACCTATCGATGTGACGGTTTGTTGCGCTGTAGGCGCCGACAGCGGCGGCGGCGATGGGGCGCGTGGTTGAGTGGGTGACGCGACCTGCCCATACAGTGCAGCTACAAGGTCACCATCCGACTCGTGGTTGCGTTTTTGTGAGTTATGTGCCGTATCGGTTTGGCGGTCTGCAACCAATAAATCATAATGAAGGAAATAAATCATAATTGTTTGAAGCGATAACAAAGTAGCCCCTAGAACTACCCATGCGTATCGTAATACTAAGTTAAGGTTTGAAGCAGTCCCTAGTACTGCCCACTAAAACCTATAAAACGCCAGACTTGCAGCTTCAAACTATATTCATTTCAGTTCAAAAAACAGTGGGTATATTCGATAATGAAAGAGATAGCCCCTAGGACTAACCACGTCATCGATTTTTCTGGTCAGAAGTAGCCTCTAGGACTACCCACAGAAACCCATACTTTCAGTTGTTTCACAACTTGTTTGTTGGTAAAAGTTACCAATATCTGCCAATAGGTTAGAAACAGCCCCTTAAACTGCCCACAAAAAACCTATATGTAGCCAGAGTACGTATTAGAGTAGGAAATACATAAAGAGACACGAGCCTCACATGGTCATAGAAGCAGCCCCTAGAACTGCCCACAAACCACTATCATTATGTATTTACATATATAGTACACATTAGAATATATGAACGAATTGAAATACCTTGTGGTTCCGACCGACGAATTGGACGGCGGGAAGGCGACGGCTCCGGTGATGATGATGATGAACTCGATGACGCAATCTGCATGACACGCACTCGTTTTCTACGCGAGCTCGAACTATAAACTTCTCTTTCTAATTTTTTCAATTTATCTTTTAAATATTTAAAATCATCACTATTTTTACGCTTTGGCATTTTATTTGTTCTTTATATAACTTTTTATAACAATTTATCACTACTGAGTAGACGCGTGCAAAGTGGCGAACACTAGAAACGCGAATGAGTCAAAATGGCTGCTCGAGCTGGGAGGTTAAATAGATCTACCCGCCTTTTAAAATAAAAATAAAAAAAAAAGTTATAAATAAAACCGAGGAAATACCCTCAAATATAGTGTAATAGTGGCGATCTCTATGCGATACTACAAGTGTTATATGCTAATCTAAGAGGACGAAGCCGAGTATAATTTACTATATAAACATTTATAATTTCGTAGGATTTTTTTGACATTTAATATAACATAAATTTTATAAAAGAAGTTTTGTCTTTAATTCTATTGTGTAACGAATGGAATACAAGTACTCGAACCGAATATATTCGGCACCAAAACCTAAACTGGTTTTTGTGCCTGTATACAAATAAATAAATAAGTAGCATGTTCTAATTTCATTCTAATTAAGCGCATAAGTAGTTAACTAGTCAGCTAGTTGAAATTGAGATGTTGGATTAGATTCTATTTGTATATAATATTTTATATCCAATCGAAATCCGTCGCCAAAAAAGTTTAAGAAACACTGTGCTACATTTTTCACTGCTCACACATAATGGATAACAATATAATTGTTGGAATATTTGTTTACGGCGTCTGTTTATTTATAGCCGATGCATAGATACTTTATTTTACATTTATTTAAAACTCATTTATAATTTCAACTGAACAATTTAATTTTCAACATGTTGTGGGTAATATGAGTATCCTTTGATGTTTACATAATTTAGTAATTTACTGTTAATTCAAATTGAGCTGTATTGTCAAGCTGTAAGGGTGATTATAGCGTACACGTTGTGTTGACAGAGTGGTACGGCGGCACTACTCTAGTGGAGGTGTCCCCCACCACTGACGGCAGCTGTGACAGCGAGTACACAATCGTAGAGAGAGAGATGCAGGTAATAAGCTTGCGAATACCTAACAGCAGCAATCCGCCCCCGCCAAACGCGACTGCTTCGGTACCCAAACATGTCCTGGACTATCCCGACGACCAATTCAGTCTTGCCAAAAGACAACAACACGTAACACACTCGCCGATAGGCCCGCGACGACCCGGTCTACAAAGTACGCGATTCACCAGGTACAGATATGTGCCAGGGCGTTTTTCTCCGCCCACCACGATACAGGATAATTAGAGCCAAGGTCCGAGCCTTTAGAGACGCCCTCCAATCATTCCGACCCCCAGCGTCCGACACGAGAGTCCAGGGCGATTCTTTGATGGAGCAGAGACACCCCCCAGTGGGGTGTTGCCCTCCTAGAAGATAGTCTCGAGGACGATCGTCATCACGGCTTGAGGTACTCAGGATCTCGCCGTCCCCTTAGTCCGGTTACTCTGTAAAGGCCATCTTAGGCCAATAGTAAGACACCTTCATAAAAAAAAGATGTAGGTAAACATCTTATTTAATAGTACGAACTATCATTTAAATAATCTTAGACACACGTGTATTATTATAAATCGAGAACGAACTGATTTATCTCAAAAAATGAAAAATCAACATACTGTAAGGATTGTCCTCGTCTGATGAAGATTAAAAAAACTGCGAGATAGTATGAACTGGGATTTATTTCTGAGAAAGCAATATATTATGAGTACAGGAGTGAATCCGGGAATCACCTTACACGCGGTAAGCACCAGGTCTCAGTAGCTTTAGTGTTCAATTGTGAGATTATTCCAATACCATAATTTTAATGGGGAATTATTAATAAAATAAAATGATACAATTAACTGTTTTCGCTAGATGACGCTACTGTATTATTAAAACGTGATTTTGATTACTTGAATGTTTGTCGTCTTTACTGTTTTTCTGATTTTTATCAAAGAAAGTGGCTTTTATTTTCAATTTTACGGTTCCATAGACAACAAACTACCCTTATAGTTTCGTCATGTCTCTCTGTCTATCCGTCGGCAGCGGTTTAGCTAAAAAACGATTTATATTCGAAAAGTGTAATTTAGCATGGCTTACACTAATCACGCCGGCAAAGAGGTAAAATAAAATCTTGAAAAATAAATCCCCCTCCTTAAATGTAGGGGACATGTAAAGTTAATGCTGGGAATTTAAAAGAAAACATTCGTTTGTATTTATTGCAAGGCGGGTCAATTCTACAGCGCACTAAAATTGAAAGAAGAGCAACTGGACTATTCTATGAAGACATGCGCGTTATACACACACACCGGTAGATTTGTCATAATTGGTTCCCTACTGCGTAGACCACGCATAGTCTCGATACTGTGCGGAACCCACTAATATTTAGTAACTATCGTCGACGGACATCTCGAAAAAATGTATTTAGTAGGTAGTAATAAAAATTGCATCATAATTACCAGCATATGAATATGTCCCACTTTTGGGCCACCCACCACGCGGGCCCAGTGCGGTTTGGTGGATATTGACGACTGCAGATGTAGCCGGGACCGCGCCTGAAGTGCCTTCCGAAGCACGGAGATGCTCGAGATAGGAAATTTTCGGTCACCCATCCTGTGATTGGCCGTAGCGAAATTTGCTTAACAACCATATCTCATATCATTAATATCCCACCAGGCGTCAGTACGCGCTCACAGAGACCACGCCGGTGGTCACTTCAGCTGTTACAATGTGGTCAGGGTAAGTTCATATTTTTGTCTATTATTCTAATGGCCATTCAGGTATTTAAGTTTACCATTTTCGAATCAGCAAAGACATATGATATTATACGTAACTGTTGGCAGGTGAGGTCCCAAAACGTGTACTTTTTCTAGTCTAGAATAGGTCTGTATAAACTCACAAATAAGTATAAATACTATAATTTATTTTAATATCACAAATTCGTAAGTATCTTTGTAATAAAATGTGGTACACAGAAATATGGATATGCCATAACCCTCCACGCTGGCCCAATGCGGATTGGAGGCTATTAGCCACTGCAAATGCAGCCGGGACTAACGCCTTAACGTGCTCCGAAGGAGTATCTCGAGATAGTGTATTTTTGGTCACCCATCCCTTGTGAAAGTTGCTTAACAATAACGATCGCGGGCCGTCACAATTATCCACTACGCCACCGAGCTACTTTAACTACTAGCTAATATTGTGAAGAGAAAAGATTCGATTGTCTGTTTGCATTTAATAGACTTTGAACTTCCAGTAGTTTAAAAAGGACGTGACGTCACCCGCTCTTTGCGGTCACGTGACAACAAGCATAATATATGTTCTTTCATAATTTGTTTAAGAAATATTATATTAAACGCTACCAGAAAAATAATAATATGTATTTATTTTCGTTTACTGTCTACATCCGTATTGTGTAATCTATTGTCTAGATACAAAAAATAGTGAATGGCCGCTTATGGGAGAGGTATCAGCATAGACGGAAGGAAGTGTCCGAGGAGGCCGGGGCTCCAAACGAACGGATGCTCTTCCACGGATCACCGTTCATCAACGCGATAGTGCAGAAGGGCTTCGACGAGAGGCACGCTTATATAGGTACTGTGCTCTAGAGATAAGGTCTAATTTACTATGACAAGATGTTTATTACTTATACTACAGCCAAATTCGATGAAGAATGCTTACTAACAAAGCGTTGCTTAGCAACCAGTGACAGGCAGATATTAATAACCTTTCTAAAGTAGACAACATTATATTTTTTTTTTCTATTCCAAATACTACTTTATGAAATATTCTAAGCAAAATCGAATGTGCTATGTGTTTACATTACAACGCACATGTCACGTGTAAACAAAAACTAGTGAAAAATCATTTTTTACTTATAAATGTAATACTTCATAAACTTGATATTTATAAATAATGCTATCAATTCACAATGCTATAGACACATTATTATAGGAAATAAACAAAAATTCGTTTTAAAAAGTAAAAAGGAATACCGAACTTTCACATTGGGTCGACTTACATTATGCGATCGATTTAAAATGTAGTCAAATTAAAGGAACACGTTTTACAATTGTTGACAACTTTATTTGGAAAGTTAGTTTAAAACTGCAAACATGTTTCTTATATCTATACTCTTTATAAGTTATAGGGCTGTCAAGTAAAAATATTTTGAACTTTATTACTATTTTTAATTATTTTTTTGCCAAAATATTGAAGTTTAATATTGAATATAATTAATTTATGGCATTAAAAAATATTACTTACAATATTACAAAGTAATGTGCAGTATCCTGGTGAGAAATAACAGTTTCATATATTGTTTTGTCATCTAAGTCATGATGACCCTGATTTGCTGTGTTTAAATTTATTCTTCATCGAATTTAAATGTAATGAGGAAACTAATTTGGATTTTTAAAAGACTCAGGCTTGTGGCTGATTTCGAACTTTTACGATCTGTTTACTATGCTTTGGCTCAGTCTCTTCTTTCTTATTGTATTAGGGTATGGGGTGGCACATGCAAAACCTATTTGATACACTTAGAAAGAGCACAGAGATCACTCTTAAAAACTATGACCTTCAGCCCTTATAGGCATCCGACTAGTTTACTTTACAAAAACTGTCAAGTGTTAACTGTCAGACAATTGTACGTACAACAAATGATACACAGGCAACACAAAGTCACACCATTTGATAAAGCTACTTATAACAGTAAACGCATAATTACTAACATATGCTCACCTCTTAGATGTCGGACGACCTTCGCAAGGCGTCAGCAAGCGAGCATGTTAATTTTATTATATAATAAAATAAATAAAATAATCACACACACACACACACGCACGCACGCACGCACGCACGCACGCACGCACGCACGCACGCACGCACGCACGCACGCACGCACGCACGCACGCACGCACGCACGCACGCACGCACGCACGCACGCACGCACGCACGCACGCACGCACGCACGCACGCACACACACACACACACACACACACACACACACACACACACACCCCCACCATTGTTTTTTGTTTCCATAATTTTACTTCTCTTTTTACTTTATTTTATTTTTCTTTATTTTCTTGTAATGGTTCATAATTTATAACACGTGGATTGATATGTTCTCTAAGATGGTAGAGGAAACTGGTGTCTGAAACTCAGGTTTTATATACCTACCTCAGATGTCAGGGTGCTCATAAAATGTATCCTTATCTCTTTGTGAAAATAAAGAATTATTATTATTATTATTATTATAATGTAAGATTTGGTATCCCTCGAGACCAAATCTAATGTACCAAGGCATGTCCTTTATTACTAAACGGGCCATTAGAGGAAAAAATCCGTGATCTTGTTTAGATTGATGCCATATTGACCGGGTAATCTGTAGATTTATGTCACACCCCTCTAAAACTAATATCGTTCTTTATATGCATAAGGTTTAATTCTCTATGTTCTGATGTAAGAGGGGCGTGACGTGACTAAATATCGGTATTAGTGTATTAATACTACCATAAAAAAATGTATTTATTTCCGTTTATTTTCTATCACAATCCAGTTTAATAATGTCAGGCTAAGGTTAAACTTGTACAGGTGTTCTGCCATAGATTTCTTATTCAAAATCAATATCAAAATAATATTAATACAAATAGACATCTATCTTATTCTTCTATTCACATCCTGCCACCTGCAGACCATGGGTCTCTTTGGCCCGAGGTTAAATTCACTGCTGTTCCAATGCTATGTCAGTAATGGGTTTCTCTGTATGTTTGTGTGACAGGAGGCATGTTCGGCGCCGGTATATATTTCGCTGAACATTCTTCGAAGAGTAATCAGTACGTGTACGGATTCGGAGGCGGGACTGGTTGTCCCACGCACAAAGACCGAAGTTGTTACCTATGTCACAGGTGAGAGAGTAGCAATTTCATTAGCAAATAATATAAGAATTATTGCAACGGTTATTCTATATGATGTTAACGTATATATGAAGTATATGTGTGTAGTGTGAAGTGTAATATAAACATTATACAATATATATAAATATTATAATTTACTTCGATTTTGGACTTTATTGTTTTTTTTTCATAATAAAAAAACAAATAAATTACACAATATTTATCAATCTATAGGACTTAGGACATTTGCATCGTGTTATTTTTTATTAATCTACTTCACAGCTATATCGAATAATTAATACAACTTATAATTTGGTCGCTTTTTTATTTATTAACAAAAAGTCATCCATAATTTAATAAATTATTATTTAATAAGTTATAAATTCTAAACAGTATACAAATAAACAAAAAATGTTCTGTAAATCGCATAGAATAAATATAAATATATATTTTTTTGATCATAGAATTTTCTCTATTAGAACAACCATATTTAGTAGTTGTTTAAAACTAATTCCCCTTTCTAAAATAGAAAAAGTTCGTGTTGTGTTTTATAATAATCAAGCTATATTAATCAGTATAATTACCGATGATAATAATTATCACTCCGAACCCTGGTTGAAAATTCTTTGGTTGCTGGTCATAGTCTGTGCATATGTATAGGATATATACACCAAAGAAATTTGTAGTTTTCTTAGCAAATTGTAATGTGACAAATAATAAAATCGTAGAAGCATCGTGTGACGTCATATTTCAATAAACAAGACGTCAACGTAATGATGCGAGTGTAACCACTACTTGTGTTTTTTTGAAATCTTAATAAAAAAATGTCTGTCCTTTATTTAATAATACGTTTTGGAGAAAAGTAAATCTGAAAATGGCAGTTAGTTAAATGTTATCCCAAAACAGTCAAGAACTTAAACTAAAAAAAACGTAATAACTTAAGAAAGGGGGGGGAGGATCCGGGATCCAAACAGTCAAGTACCTAGTACCTAGCCGGTGATGGGATGTTGTTATGTGTTCCGTAGACACATGCTGCTGTGCCGCGTGACGCTGGGGCGCGCGTTCCAGCTGATGAGCGCGATGAAGATGGCGCACGCCCCCCCCGGCCACCACAGCGTGGCGGGCCGGCCCTCGCAGGGGGGGCTCTGCTTCCCCGAGTACGTGGTCTACAGGGGGGAACAGGTATCTCACCACGACACTATATAAATATCTTTTTATTGTATCTGGTCAATTTTGCGTTCACAATGCTATACTGGTAAATATTCTTAATGAAAATGCTTTAAAAAATCCACTTAGTCCCAGGTACTCTGTCATGGGATTCGAAACCATAACCTTTCGCAATTCGGGCGGCTCTAACCACTAAGTTAACCAGGACCTAACATGATTGATGAATTTTTCAAGCACTTGTTAATTTTTCGCTACTACAGATCAATTTTACTATCACAATATCAGAGTACAAGGGACAAAGTGGATTTTATTGAACTTTAATGACCAATTAAAAATACTACAAAAGGCGGACTTAATCAATCTTTGAAAAAAGCGACAATAAATAAATATTAGACAATGTCATATACATTGCCGACTGGGAAACGAATCTTGTTAATTTACTTTGAAATTAAGCTTTGTTACAATGGTAAAAGGTTCTAAATAATTTATTATGTTACAGGCATACCCCGAATACCTGATTACATATCAGATAGTGAGCGCCGAAGGTAACTCTGGCGCTGTTTGAACAGTATTGAACCAGTGTGTGGGCTGTAAAATTAATCTGTATATATTTGAAAAGCGAAACAAGACTCATAGACTGGTTAATCAAGAAATCTCACAATAAATTGCAATTAAAAAGTAAACATCATGGCTGAATGGAAATGGATTCATTTGCCATACCGATAATGGGAAAATTAAAAAAAAAGAGATGTATAGTCTGTGGGCGTTAGATTGAATAGTCTATTTTATAACAATTTTATGTATTAAAATCAAAGATAATTTTATTTATTAGCAAACTAAATAGCAGTTATTAAATGGAATATTTTTTTTAGCAAATACACTTGCTCATGATTTTAACATGTCTTTTAAGACCAAAAATACATTTTCTGTTTGAAAATTTATAGATTTCTGATGTATGATAAAAAAAAAAGAGTTCGTTATTCTTGAAAAACATATAGCTTTTTCATAATATACTGCTTAAGGTATAATCGGTCTTCCTTCGTGTGTCCAAGTGTTTCCTAACCTAATTGTAAGTGGCTTATAGTTGGTAATTTTCAATGATCAAAATGAGCCGGCAGAGGTCGCCCGCCTTTCTATCGACCAATAAGCCATTAGTCAACTGACCCCTAGGAAATCAAGTAATAATTCCAGAACCCTTTCTAACAAAAAAAATGACAATAATATACGAATAATTTATTTTTTAATATTTGAAAATTAGAAACATTAATTTTTTTTTTTAAGAAAAAGCACGTCGATACGGAGCTTGTGTCGCTTTTTTGCAAGTACTATTACAATAAGTATCATTAGCGATTTAGATTGAACTAAGTTGTATAGAAGTGGACGTTCGCTGTGCCAAGTAAGAGCATATAGTAACGTTTGATGGCATTTATTACTCGAATAATATAAATAACGACCTCAGGGGTCGCGGACCACAGATTGGGAAACACTGGCTTAGTGGAATGTTCATTTTGTGCATCACTATTTTATTTACACAGAATTTCTTATCTATTCTGTAATTTTGAAGAATTGGATTCCAATATAAATATGGTGGAAATGCTAATGCAAAGATATAATTTACGTCATGAATTTCGACTGTATTTCAATAGTAATAAAGTCTAATATACCCTGTCTAGTACTGTTTGGAAACCTTAGAATTTCTATTCACAACTAGAATGAACAAAATGACTGTATTTAATAATAATATCTATGTGGAGCTCGAAATAATCACGAGATTGTCGCGAATGTTTTATCTTTGTTTTTGTAATAATTACAAATTGTAAGGTTGTAAGAAATTATATTTAATAAAAAAAAATATATTATTGATAAATGATTTTTTGTGTATTATTTATTTCCTCAATGATAAAATAGGGCCGAGTTTGCAGCAGATTAATCATTATTTGCGTGATGAGCAGAGGTCGGAATTAGGTAGTTATTTATGTACTTGCATCGAAATGTTGATATTAATGTGGACTTTCCCGGGATTTCTTTATTTCTTTCTTTCATTGATGTAAGTTTGGCAACGTCGTGCGTGCAATAGTTTAAATTGTGTAAAAGTAAATAACTTTTTATTTAAAAAATCACGGGATTTTTTCTGCTCTTTAAAATTAATCTCGGGATTTGAGGCATATCCACTTTATCCTTTCGCTGTATGAAATCTGTGTAAGTACATGAATAACTCTACCTAATTCCGACCACTGGTGATGAGAAAAGATAATATGATTCAGACATTATAATGTAGCAAATTTCAGTAAATATGGCGTGTCGTGATTTTTTTTCGCCACGTACAGACCTCTAGTGAATCATGAAAGTGTGAATTTATAATCAGTCTTGTTCCAATAACCGTAAGGCTTAAAATACAACGCCTTAGATTCACATTTATTAAGTTAATACAAAATAATAGTGTTCATTTGTTAGAAAAACTGTTTATTTCAACTATTAATTACTTTTAATAAATAAAAAACAGATAAATTAATATTTTTTTAAATACAACGATAAAATTGGTGACAATACTGTTCCTAGATTAAGTTTTAAATCCAGATAAATTCCGTTTTAAATTCTGTAAATAACAGATTAGAGAGGTACAATAGAATTGGAAGCATTCTTAAACTTGATGTTTAGATAATAATTTTAACATTTTTTTTAGAAATAATTTAATTATTCACCTACAATATACAATCAATTCATATAACTTGAACAAATTTAATAATTTCAAACATTCATTGCTACGTACTTCAAAGTAAGAACTACGTTGTATTACCATACATTCACAACACATGATATAACATTTAGGTATAATAACTGTCAAAATATTTCTAGGGAAGGCCTATGTCCCATTAATGGGTTGACTATGTAAAAATATACGAAAGCCATAAGTTTCGTTACAATAGAAATTAAAATCTCTTAAGTTGACTAATTACGTAACTTCTTCTCTTTGGTATTTATACAATTTACTACATATTTAATACCATTAGATACTACTACGTATAAAACTTGTGACCATTCTAAATCTATCCCGCTCACACCATTACACACAATAACAGACGGTAAGATGAAGAGTACAAGTTGGTTTAGACCAGAGGTTCCCAAACGATTTTTTCTCGTAGACCATTTAAAAAAATTATTGGTTTCGGTGGACCTCCTGCTGCTACATTTTTACCATATTCCCAAAATTCGTAGAAAATGTGAAGATCTAACGATGGAAATTGGCGACCTATTTTTATTTCACGCCAACGTAGACCCCCGTTGAATCCCTCGTGGACCACTTAGGGAATCACTGATTTAGACCGTCACAAGATGGCGCTGAGGTGCAAAGTGCGAAACGTGCATCGCGCTTACAAATTTCTATGCAAATTTCCTATTTATAAGGATGAATCGATACCATCCTTTGTTCGATTAAATTACTAGCATCGAATTAAATTATCGATATTTGTGTGTACTCGAAGCAATTTACGAAAACTTGAAAAATGTCTCATTTATAACACAGCGTCATAAAGATTGGCCAAAAAAATTCCTTCACCGTTTAATTCTTGGCTATTATTAAGAGGGTAGATTTAAAAATTTTCTTTTATATTGGTCGGGTGCGATTGTATTGCGAAGTGTGATGAATCCACCCATTTAGTTCATCGAGCACCAGTGACGAAAGTTTTTCCTCTTTGTGCTTTAATTAAGATGTGCTAATTATTATATTTGAGCATTCACAATGCTACCTACGAAAATATTCTTATTAAAAAAAAAGTGCTTAAATACCCACCTTTCGCTTTCCGGGCGAAAATTTTAACAAGAATATTAGATGTTCTAAGTTTCGAACTGAACCTTTATAACCGTGCTATATATTTTCGTGCCTTGCACAATAAATATCTTCATTCCTGTAGCAAGGGGGGTACTATGGGTACTATCCTGAGGACCATAATACAGTGAGTGCTACCAGAGCTGGTGACATTCACTTGCAACGATAGTTGGCCAAGTTTAGTGGAAATTATTTTGTCTTGATTTCTTCTATTCTACATTACAATTCACACAAGAATATCAAAACTATCGATGGTAGTACTAAGTCGTATCGATTCATCCTTAATTTTAAAAGAAAAATGTTTTCTAAAAGATTTCGTTAACTATATAGTGATCAACAATATAAAAAAATCAACTAGAATACATAAAATCAGGCGCAAGGATTCATATCACCAGTCATATTCACATGAGAACACGTAACCTTCTGCCCGGTGGGTACAGGTATTCTAAACAATTTCCCCTGTGGCATACACACGCACACTTTAAATTGGCCTGTCGCTTGCTTATCAGTCTTATTAATAGGCGACGCTATAGGTAAGTATCTGACGTCGACGAACACTCCTTCTTTACCGCTCAATACCACGGAGCCGTTTATAGATTTGATGTATATATCCTGGTCGGCGCTCCAGAATAACTCCTTGGATTCCATGTGAGTGCCCTCCGAGCCACGGAGGTGTATGGAACCATCCGAACGGACGGATAGATCTTCGTCCACTGGCGCTGTGATACGTTTAGTTGACACTTGCTATGGAAATGAAAAAAAAATGTAGTGAAGAGTACCTATTGAGGTGGTGGTAATATTTCAACAGTTCTGTTCTGAATTAGTAAATTCGTGAGCACATTCATATATCTAAAAACGATCTAATATATAAAGCAGCATCTCGATCTCTTAAGATTGTGTTTGGAATGGAGTTATGCAATAACTTTTATTAACAAAATTGTCTTCAAATTTTGAGGCAAGGGGCCATCCACAAATTAAGCGGTTACACGCTTACATGGGGTTTGTGTGTTTAAAAATCGTGAAATTTATGGATGCTAACAGGTATAGTGGACGGCACGTAAGTAGAACCAAAATGGCGTATTTTCCGCGCATTTCCCGGTGTCCGGTACACTGTGTTGTTGTTTGCGCGTTGCGTCATGCGCAGTAGCCATTTTTGGTTCAACTTATGAACCATTTACACTGGACAATCCAGTAAGCCAGTCTACTAAACGTTCGAAACCATTCTTTTTCAAATACTTCCTGTATTTGCAAAAAGCAAGCACTAAAAAGCACCTCACTAGATGGCGACTTTAGCAAAAGTTGATTTTTGCACAAAATAAATGGACCAAAGATAAATCATTTCCGTTCCTTTTAACTGACACATTAAAAAACTGAAATTTGCACAGTTTGAAACTTAGATCCTATTAATATTATAAATGTGAACGTTTCTTTGTTTGGATGTTTGTCCGTCAATCACGCCGAAACTAATGAACGGATTTGATGAAATTTGGTATTAGCTGACTTACATAATAGGATACTTTTTATCCCACTAAACATTTCCCTAGGGATCACGTGAACGAAGCCGCTGGCGAAAGCTAGTATCAATATAAATACGAAAAAGTACAAATAGAATATGAGTTGTATATTGAGTTTTGAAAATTAATTTACTTTACACATGAAGGAAAACCGGTAAGGTTGTTATGGCGAAATCAAGAAAGTACCGTAGCGACATCTAGTTTGATTTTGGGAACTAAATGTTTTTTTTAATACTTCCTCATTGTACTGTCTCGAATACTGGTTTGAGGATTTTCTCCTTTTACCCAAGGTCAATACTGGGGTACGATCAGTAACTATCTAGTCCTGCCATAGTATATGACTTCCTAGCGAATATTATGACGATATATTGTTTAATATGACTACTTTGACATGTTTTTTGGTGGATTGAATGGAAATTCAGACAAATAACTAAGTTGTAAGCACTGCTATCAAATCCGTATTCATTCTTCCTGCTCCGTTATTGAAGTACGTGACAAAGTAGTAAAATGAAATGAAATAGCGTTATAACATCGCTAAGGTGTCGCATTCTGAGACTAGAGTTATACCTAGAGGAGTTGCAGTCACTGCTGTACTCATATCTGGTTGACATTGGCTACAATAGGGATGTAGACAACTTTTATATTTTTGTTAAATAGATATACACGAAATATATCTAAAAATTATTATTCATATAGTTAACGCCACTTCTGTCATGGCGTCGCTATGACGTCACGGCACTCTGAGAAGAATATCGTTCTATGTGTGCATAAGATTGAATTCTCTTCAGTTCTGATATGAGTAAGAGGGTCGTGACGTCACGCGCTGTTTGCGGTCACGTGAAAACGAGCATAAAATATTTGTTTTCATAATTTGTTTAAGTTATATTATAAATATTAAGCACTACCAGAAAAAAAAATGTATTTATTTTCATTTATGTCTACACCCGTATTTACGCGGGCAAAGTATATTTATTTATAACTAGCTATTGTCCTTACTCTAGGCAAAGTAAAGGACAATAGCTAGTTATATATAAAGATATTATAATAAAGTCTGTATCCGCCCCTGATTGATATAAAATTTTACTTTATTAACACTTACTTTAGCGTGTATATTGTTGACGCCGTCTGGTATATTAATTGCGGGCGCGGCTGTGCTGAACACAGTACGACCCGAGTCAGGGTCCACCAGCTCCAGGGAGTTGACGCCGCGAACGAATACACCGGACGAGTTCACAGTTAACTTTGTATCGGGACGAGACAGCCTGGATATAGGAAAAAATTTCGCTAATATTTCGACTTGTGCATTGTTGTACATCATCACTACTTTCAAAGATGCCAAGTGACATTTGAGGGTATTTTTCTCTGTTTGAAATATAATTCGTAAGTGTTTGAGTCATTAAAGTAATATTTCAGAATAAACATGTTTTCTTGACCTAATTATAATTTTCCCTTTTTTTTATCCACGTAAACGCTGTCCGTCATATTCGTAATGTTATTGTAATATGTACACAAAACAAATGCATAGTGTAGAAGATTAAAGCATGTCAATAAAACAAAAACAATGCTAACTAACGTTTGATTATGAAATAAAAAGATATAAATAAGCTAGAACAGCTCAATCTTGGAATTTGATTTATAATTAAAATATTATACAAATTATCTGTTACTTTGGTGTTAATTATTGTAAAATTCAAAAATCTGAAAAGAGAAGGTTCTGTGTTGAACTTATTGAAAAAATCTACTGCTTTCTTCTAACATATAATGGTTTTGTTAAACAGGCACGATTTTCGTTATAGTGCAAAAAGGGTAGTAATGCTTAGCTAATGCTGACACAGGTTCATGGTCTGGAGAGAGATGATTTTCAGCCACCCCTATCTCTCAACAATGTTAGGCAAGAGCGAGAATTATGGGCTGATTCTAATTGCCAAATCCTATCCTATTTGTATTATAAATGTGAAAGTTTCTTCATTCGGATTTTTGTCCATCAATCACGCCGAAACAACTAAACAGATTTTGATTAAATTTGGTATACAGATTTGGTACAATTTGGTATACGGATATTTTTTATCTCATTAGGGATTACGCGGGCGAAGCCGCTGGCTGAAAACTAGTACATAATATAAAAAATGAAATCAAAATAAAGACTCTCGTGTACTGTGACATCATGATACAAAACAACATATTTAAAACATAACTAGAGAGAAAACTATCCTAGTATTGTGTGTGTATATAGTTTACAGAAATTTATTTTACTTTATTTTACAGATAGTTTTGTTAGGGAAGGCAAATGTCCAATGCTGCACAAATAAATGCTGATTGAGAAGATTACATGCCCACACCACTCTAATGAGAAGGAAAAGTCTACCCACTAAAAACGAAACCTCTACTTGAAGCTGACTCCATAACCAAATGATACAAAATTTACCTCCAGCAAGGATGGATACCTGGTTTGCAGATTAAAGTTGACGGAGCCATTCTCACTGGTGATCATCATTGGTACATCCTTGAAACCTTCCAGCAGTCCATCGCGCTTGTAAACATGCTCGAGATGCGCTTTACCCATCAGTTTGATAGCATTGTGCTCCGGAAGAAATTCCATACTTTCCATACCTACAAAATAAGGAAACAGTGTAATTTATTTTTTTGCTTATATCAAATCAAGAATCAAATCAAATCAAAAGATAGTGCCATGAATGATTTATAGAATATTTAACCTTATATTACAAACAACTGTACAATTTAATAGATATTTTGTTTCTGTTGAGTATTATGCCATTGGCAAAACTTTAAAGTTAACTAATAACTTTGATAAAAATAATTTGATATGATATTACACAGTTAATACAGATAATATAGATGCATAAATACATAAAGCCAACATCGTTTTGTATTTATGAGACAATGGTGATTAATGTTTATGGCTAAAATAAAGATATGGTGGAAATTACCTTGCCCAAGACGCAAAACAGCAAGTATGGTAAAAGTAAGAATTAAATTGCCAATGGCAAGAGCAAACAGCAAGCACACTAATGTCCAAAATGCAAAAGTCTTGCGTCCTTTGTGGACGGTCTTCGTAACATCATTCCCATTCTTATCAGAGTAATTTTTAACATTTCCACGTAAGTCATGGAAAACTTGACTATGTGCAGGGGTTTTTGTAATGAGAGCTTTTTCAGCACGGTTCCTTTCCAGAGTGCCTTCCGACATTGCTTCAGAAGCGGGAGAAACACCACGCAACCCACTCAACATAACAAAACTCACTTTATTTGAGTTTGCTAATAAAGATTCATAAAATTAAAAATAGCCCAAATATTTTCACAACTTTGACAACTCAAATTATTGAGCGAATATACTGCAACGTTATTGGCGGAGAATGTAGCCAATGAAAAATATCTTCAATAGCTCTGAGACCTAACATTTTGGCTTCTTCCTTTACTACGATCCTCGATTTTAGAAGTTATGTCTATGGTTTAGGATATTTTTGAACGTAAGTTTGATAGTTGTGTAGTAATGCCAACCTTTACAAATAAAAACTTTGTAAAACTTTTGACGTTTTCTTGACAATTTGCTTTGTAATCATGGCGTCAGAACGTTATAGTTTTTCTCTCACTACTTTCAGGTAATTATAATGTATTTACTGTGATTAAACGTGATAATTTAATTTAATTACAATCATCAAAATCTTAATTCACCGAAATACCAATTGCTTGTCCATTGATTGTCCCGTAGCAGACAAATTCTTCTTTTTATTATGCGATACTCAAAAATTTATGATTGCATAGATTCTTGTATACTTTTCACAGCCCGTCGGGAAAATTGGTACAAATAGAATATGCTCTAGCTGCTGTGGCCGCCGGCGGCACGTCCGTTGGCATAAAAGGTTTGTATTTTCCTAATAAGTTTGAGGTTAGTTTCAAATTGTAATGATTTGCATTTTCAGTAAAGTCTAATCATAATAACATAAAGTATAAAATCTAGAAGCTTTATAATATTTTCCTTTATTTTACAGCCTCCAATGGAGTAGTTATCGCTACTGAAAACAAGCATAAAAGTATTTTATATGATGAACACAGTGTGAACAAAGTTGAGATGATCACAGGACATATTGGTAAGTTTTGTTAAAATTTAATTGATAATCAGATTACAATGGCAACATGTTTTAAATTTATTCTGTGTATGATTTCCTCTGATGGACAGCAGTAAAATCTAAACCTAAATCAAAATTATTGATTTTGAAATTGTAAAACTACAAAAGTAACATCTTCACTATTTTTTTTTTTTACCTAACTTGGTTAAATTGGTGCTCTGACATTATAAAATATTTTAACTATAAACTGTTTATATATTATAAACTATTTTGAGTCTTGCTGTTTTATGCTGGTGCTAAGAAATGAATATTATTGATAAAAAATCTCAGCTGTGCCAAAATAAAACACTCAAAATCCCACTTGAATTTTTTCACAATTTTATTTTAAATTTCTTGTTTTAAGTTGATAAATATTTATGTTCTTGGCAAATTTATTTTATTGACATTTCTCATAATATATTATAACACTTAATATGTCTTTCTCACTTCTTAAATTGCAGTTTTTTTGTTTATTAAAGGTATGGTGTATTCTGGCATGGGTCCTGATTACCGTCTTCTGGTGACACAAGCCCGCAAGATGGCACAGCAATATTATCTGATGTACCATGAACCTATACCAACTGCTCAGCTCGTACAGCGAGTAGCTACGGTCATGCAAGAATATACACAATCTGGGTCAGTTTTAGTATTATGTTGGATAAATTAAAGAGATGTCCACAGTTTTCATGGGATTGAACATATAAGTTAATTTAAAATAGCTTCATAAAGCAACTAAAGAACATAAGAACATTTAATGACTTGCATAGCCAAGTGGTTCGCACGTCGGTTTCAAGGTGTCGCCATCACTTAGGTCCTGGGTTTGTTTCCGGTCGGATCAATGTAGAAAATGAATTTTTCTATATTGCCACAGGTTTGGATTGTGGTACATTCGTTATCTCAGATACATAATACGAGGGCTTTAGCTACACATCTTGGAATCTGAGCAATGCATGTGATGTTATTTAATTTTTAAATTTGATTTTGAAGGACAAACATTATTATACAAAAAGTGTATATTTAACAGATAAATTTAATTAACTAAGGTACTATAGTGTCTTCTTAATAGATAGAAACAACGAAACAACTTTTAACCAGTTTCATCGTATTTGTATTTATATGAACTGATGTTACATTATCAGTTACCATTTTATATTCATATACATAAGTATAGGTCACTAAGTGCACCCTTTAGTGATAAAGTTAAACTTCAATCGTGATTGAACATACTCTATTTTGCAAAAGTGATGACCTGATGACATATAAACAAATACAAACAGAAAACCGCTTCCATGGATAAGTTTGTATTAATTTAATTGTTCATATTTCAGTGGTGTCCGTCCATTCGGTGTGTCTCTGTTGATATGTGGTTGGGACGGTGATAGACCGTACCTCTTCCAGTGTGATCCTTCAGGAGCTTACTTCGCATGGAAAGCCACTGCAATGGGAAAGAACTTCAATAACGGGAAGACTTTCCTTGAGAAAAGGTATACATTCACATGTTCATAATTTCTTATTATTTTTAATACTATATTATAAATAAACAAATATTTTATTTACACACAATATTTTTAAGGATAAGTTCCTGAATAACATTTGATTAATCAATATACATTTTTCTGATGCAAAACCTATATTAAACTAACAATATTAATAAACAAATCTAAATATTTGATTGTTTGTTTGTTTGATTTTTTTTTGCATCAAATAGATTCCGAAACTACTGGACTTATTTTAAAAATTTTGTAGTAGTGAAGACAAGTGCTTGAAAAAAAAAACATTGTGCTTGCAAAAAGACGTTTTCCCCAACCTAATATAAATATATCAATATCAATAAAAATCATGAAATAAAAACTTTTTATATAGAGCAGAACTGACTTCAAACTTTTAAAATGTGATAAATAATACTTGTCTCAAAAGACTTATTCAAGAAAATAGTATTGAAATTGGGCGCCTATCATTTAATTTTCTTGGTTCTACTTTTTTACTTTTTATAAAAAGAATCCCTGTTCCCTATTGCGATTTATTTTGCATATGATTAATTTCCAGCGTCATATACAGATGATATTTATAAAATGTCTATTAATGATTCTCAGGTATACTGAAGAGTTGGAGCTTGATGATGCTGTTCACACTGCCATCTTAACATTGAAAGAAGGTTTCGAAGGTCAGATGACTGCTGATAACATCGAAGTTGGCATCTGTGATGCAGCCGGCTTCAGACGACTCGAACCAGCGCACGTCAAGGACTACCTGGCCAATATACCATAACCATTTATGGCACTGAACAGTTTTAAATAAATAAGCCTTTTTCTGTATGGATGTTTTTTTACTATTATGTCCCATAAATTTATAAAACAATAAGTATTATGTCTTGTAAGCCGATCCTAGTCCCTGCTTAAAATCATCTGGAACCCGCCAAAAGTAGTGGTCATTTTTAACCCTAATAATTTTGAGCTTATTTAAGATACATCTGAGGTTACGGTTGAATAGCGTTTAGCAAGTTAAAACTCCCGCTTATTAATTTTATAGGTAATACCAAAACAGAAAAAAAACATTTTTTTAAGGATGAAAAATCTTTACTCCATATCGGAGAGAGCTGCCGGGTCATATCGATTTACTGATTCGTTTTCAGTGTTAAAGATTAATTAAATTAGTTTTTTCCAGTCAATACTCGATTGTTAGATTAATCGAGTCATTTATGCATCCCTAGACCAAAACAAAAATGACATTTCACTGCTTGCTTGTGACATGTATCTGTTTATCAAAACATAACCTATAAAATAGAATGTAGTACATTACATTAACATTTTAAAATTCGTTGAAAATGTCGATAGATACATATTTTTGTTTTTGTTGTTTATCGACTAACGAGCTATCGTGTTTATACAGCAGCGATGCTACCACAAATTATGCCAGTCTCCTACAATCTCTATTTAACATTTCTGTAAGGGTTATTTATTATTATTCAGTTATTATAAACAAACTTTCCCCCTGAGATGTTTCCATAATCAGATTATAATAATGTCTCATTAATACACAACATAAATTCATTTGTGGCTTAAAAGTTAATCAGATTTAAAAATGGTTACATATCCAATTAAATGACAGATGCATTTAACATATACAATAGCTATTGTTAATTATTGCTAAAATTAATTGTAGATATGTTCGTACATAATTAAGGCATCATTTAATGTAAATTTTATCTTAATTTTCAGATATGTCTAGAAGATTACGAGTATGACAGCTACATATGTGATGATTGCGCTCAAAGTCTCAATGGGATACAAAAATTTAAAACTCAAGTATTTGAAACACTTAATATATTACAGAACAATGGCTGTAAGTTTTGTTTTCATTTCATTATAATTAAAGTTTATAATATATATCAGGGGTGTCAAACTTAAATTATCAGAGGGCCATTTAATAGATTTGCACCCAGTTGCACAAATGTACATTAAATTTTAATGACAACTTTAAACACTATGTTCTGAATTGAAAATTTGTATTGGTAATGTTACTTTAAATTTGTTAATTTTGATGAATGTTTGTGTGTCTGGGTGTTAGAATTTGTAGTGTAGGCAGGCCAGGTATAATTAAAAACAATGGTGCTGAAGTAATATTAGAAAAATATTCATAATTAACACTCTCTTGCACTACTAATGAAATTACTTATAAATAAAAGTTATGCATTTTTAAATATCTATAGAAATTTCAAGTGCAGTCTAAAATCTTTAAAAAAATCTGTTATACATATTGATTGCAGGCCGGATTGTGGGGATTGTGTTATCTTAATTAAAATATTAAAAATAATAAAAAACTTTTAGCTCACTTTATAAAGGCAGTTAGGTATTTTTGTGTAAGTTTATCTTTATCATAAAACATCCAATTAATATAAATATTAAGGTGTGTATACACACATTGTGAGGTTGTTCACAAGCTATGCATTGTGAATCAGTTTTGCTATCTGGAGACCTGTTTACCTTGAGAGCATCTTTGGATGGTACCTTGTATAAATGCTGTCTTTTCACATGGCTGAAGTAATAGAATGAGACTGAAAATATATATGTTAATGTTTATTATTATTTAGGCAACAGGCAAACGTTCATCAGACAGTCTTCGCCTCTCGGTTCTTCAAAACCGATCAAAATTCTACAGTCAATCGTTTACGTTACACGCGACTCGATTGTGGAATTCTTTGCCCGAAGATATCAGACGTTCACAGTCGCTCTACTCATTTAAATCTAGAGTTTTTGTGCATTTTCTGTCTGGTGGACATAAAACTTAAAATCTTAATCCTTTATCCTTCCTTCTTATAGCTGCGGTATCTTCTGCTCATGTTGGCTACTGCGTATTTTACCCATGTATATTTATTTTATTATTTTTATGTATATGTGTATATGTATATATATATATATTATTATTTGTTTTTTTCATTTTATATATTTAGTAGATGTTTTCCCTAACTTTGTGCATGACCCACAATCACCTGCCACCAGTATCAATCAAAAGGTTGCCTGGAAGAAATCGCTGTTCAGCGATAAGGCCGCCCATTGCACAAATGTAATTAATTTTTTTTTTGTTCCTTGCAATGTATTTATTTTTACTTTTTTTGTGCAATAAAGTGTTAAATAATAATAATAAAGATATTATACACTTTTGTGAAGATGAATGAATTAGAATGTATGGGTAACTGGTTAAAACAGCCATTCAATTGCACGTCTAGATTTCTAGTTGAATCATTATGACATTTGGTACTCCAACAAGATGGCTGAAGCCGAAAAGCCGACAATATGTTGATTTAGTTTTGTTATCTGGTAAAAAAATATATGTGTCCCCGGTGAGTTGACAGTTAATTAGTTGGCTGATCTTCGTTCGGCCGTATTGTATAACGTAGGCTATTAATTGAATGACGCCACTTGATTACATGGCTAGCCTCCCAATAGTCGGCGGAATATGCCATTTGGCTGCTACATATTGCATTGTATTGTATTTTCAGTGATAGAGATTCTTAATGAAAATGAACAAGTCCAAATCAAGAAGGCAACTCAGAATTTAATTGTTACTGAAGAAAAGCATAATATTGAAGACACAGCTAAAAGTTTAATTTTACTCGAAGACGAAATAAAAGGTTTGTGTATTTTTATCCTACCTAAATAAATATGTATGGACATGTCCGGTTATCACTTTAACTAAATCAAATAAGTGGTTTTTGAGTTATTATTTAGAAATGTTTTCTAGACTCTATTTTGCACAACACTAATTTTGTTTCATTGACTGGTGTTGCGCTTTCGTATTTATTTAAAAGTATTCCTAATTATATACGTATAATATAATAACATAATTTACATTACGAAAGTAGTTTCATGAAACTTAAAAAAGTTTCACAAAACGTAATTCGGTACATTTACTTTGGTGTTCAATCAGCAGTATATCTCTAAGCCCTACTTCCGTTAACATCGTAGCTTGACTATGCTCAGACCAAATAAAAACTTTTTATTTGGTCTGAGTGAGCAGGTGGCGTCACAAAACTCGTTTCGCCGTGTTTTAGTTTCATCAAACATATGCACATCGTATGAAACTAATGTCGTAAAACTCATACATGCATTGCGTAAGTGGACGTTGATATGTGCAACTATTAATGCAATGAAACTACTTTCATGAAACTATTTTGTGATGTAAATTCGGCTTTAGTGCTAAGAGATCTGTAAATCAGTGACATCCTACAATAGATGTAGCTATGTTTTTGAGTAAGAAAATAGTCAATTTTCTTGAAAAATGATTGAAAAATCCACTTTATCCCCAGCACTCTGAGATGGGACTCGAACCCATGACCTTTTGCAATTCGAACGACTGCTCTAACCACTGAGCTATCCAGGACATAGCTCAGTGGTTAGAGCAGTCGTTCTAATTTTCACTAAGAATAGTTTTATTCATAACTTTCTGACTGCCCAAATTAAAATCATTAATTTAGTTTAAGCTGCAATTTGCACTTATGAATGTCAATAACTACGCCACCGGTTGCCAATCTATGGCAGGAGACCTTGTACTGAGATGAACCAGTAAGAAACTCAGCAAGGGTGATGTTTTCATCCAATTTTATTTGATACAGAAGAAGTATTATTGAAAAGCGACGTATGTACCTTGCTTTATGTTTTCAGATATAATACAGATACCAAATCCAATAGAAAAAGAAGACTATCCAATAAAAGAAGAGAATTCTAATCAAATATTACCCGAAAGTCATACCGCATTAGAGAGAAAAGATGCTCAGACAAAAGAGGACAAAAAACGAACAATAAAACAAGTGACGCAGTATAATGTGCCCAATGATTTTAAATGTAACATATGTGGGTCTGTCATGCCAAATGCTTATACATATCATAGTCATATGAATCAACATTATCCGAATCACATATGTGAAACTTGTGGTAAAGGTACCTATGATTTTTATTAGAGATGCGCCGAGCGCCGAATATTCGTTTGGTAATCGGTATTCGGCATCTTATTCACTATTCGTATTCGTATGAATTATTAGGTTTTGATGCCGAATATATGCGGTTCGAGTATTTCTATTTTCATGTCTCTACCAAAAAGTGTTTTTGCAGGAAACGAATGGATCATAGATAGTCGTTTCCGTTCCTTTTAACTGACATATTAAAAAAAACAGAATTTTTCAAAGTTCGAAACTTAGATAACAATACAAATACGAAAAAGTACGAATAGAATATGAGTTGTTTATTGAGTTTTGAAAATTAATTTACTTTTATACACGAAAGAAAACCGGAAGGGTTGTCATGGAGAAATCAGTAAATACTTTTACCGTAGCGACATCTAGTTTGATTTCGGGAACTAATGTTTTTGAATACTTCTTCATTATAATACTAATACCATTTATAGGCAGAAAAAAGTAGTGAATCCGTGATGTACCTTTAAACATATACAGGTAGTTTCTGTTTAAATCGCCAGGTTTCCTAACGGAGAAGAGATTGAAACGTCATATACCGTCACACAAGAGAGGTCCGTTCAAATGTCAAGACTGCGATGCGGAGTTCACCAACTATAACACATTGAACTCGCACAGGTTTATATTTATTTATTTAAACATTACACAAAATAATAAATAAATATGCTTGTTTTTGTTATTTTTTTCTTTATATGCAATTTATCGGTCATTTGCCATTAAAGTTAGCATTGTTGTAAAAATATTAGATACGTATTTTATTTTTGTTTCAATTTAATGTGAAATTATTAATGAATGCTTGAGTTAATGAGTCTTGCTTATTTTTATAAGGGGAGGTTTATTATGACTATAATATTCTTCTTGCCTAACATGAATAATGCTTAAGTTACATCTAACTGTAGTTCAATCGCCGCACAGAGAGAATTCCGTACAACGACCCGGCATTACGTGTCTCTCATCACTCGTGCGCAAGCGTATTGCCGGTTCGCTCGCATAGATTATCTAGACCAGAGGTTCCCAAACAATTTTCATTCGTAGACCATTTTAAAAATTTACTGATTTCGGTGGACCCCCTGCTGCTACAGTTTTACCATATTCCCAAAATATGAAGATCTAACGATGGAAATTAGATTTATTTCACGCAAACATAGACCCCCGTTGAATCACTCGTGGACCCCCGGGGTCCACCTGGACCACTTAGGGAATCACTGATCTAGACAATTGTGTCATAGTAAAGTGAACATAAAATGTTTACGATAGGAGCCGTCCATTAATCACGTGATGTTTTTTTTGGCATTTTTTAACCTCCCCTACCCCATAGTGATACATAGTGAGGTTTAAGGCTACCCCCCCCCCCCATATATCACGTGTATTTTTAGTACTTACAATGAATCTTAATTTTCTAATTGTATTATAGACAATTAGAGAGTACAATAATGTCTAGAGGTAGACGTTTGACGAAAAAATAATTTAATTACACTTATTTACGCCGCTTTTCGGGTTGAGTATCGCGCCTTTGTCGAAAAAATAAATACACGTGATATGTTTCTTCACCCCCCCTCCTCCTTGTGATATTTTGTGACTTTTTTATGGACCCCTCCCCCCCTTTCGAGCCTCACGTGATTAATGGATATGTAACAGTACGTACAAAGGTCAACATACGAAATTTTCTCTGTTGTGCGGCCGTGGTATAATTTTGTAATGTGTACCCTGTGTTATAGGCAGCGTAAACACAGTACACTGGAGATGTACAAGTGTCCACATTGTCCGGAACGGTTCGGCACGTACACCAGACGCGCGGTACACTTGGCGGCGGAACATCAGTTCTCGACAAGGAAATACGTGTGCAAAATATGCAACAGAGGCTTCCTTATATCTGGTAAGTTCTTATAATCGTGTTGCAGATGAAAACCAGCGGTATGCACTCTTGTGTGTAACATTACGTTGAGCTGATGGTCTATTTGCCTATGAAATTAAATAAAAATGTCTTTTTATTTCACTTTTGAATCGTCCATAATTTTTTTTCCCCTACCACTTGTTCAGGACGTCTTTAAGCTGAAAGGAAGAACAAGTGATAAAAAATCTAACCAGCTCTTTATCATGAGTAATGCCATTTACATAAATCATTTCATTACCAAAATAGTACATATTATAATAATAATAAATATAACTTTCGAAGTCTGTAGGTCACAGGTTGTACATATATAATTAGTCGTTTTAGAACAAAGCGAAGACTTTTAATTCCATGCATTGCGGTCCTTAAATTAATCATTAACTTTATAATAGCCTTTACTCATAAGTATGTTCTTTACATGAATTTTAAATTTATTTATGGGTAGGTCAATTACATTTTGTGGATTTTTATTGAATATAGTAATGCATTTATCCAGAAATGATTCTCTGGTGTTTTGAACGGCAAGTTTATTTTTATTTCTTGTGTTAATATTAGGTATGATTAAGAACCTACTTTTTTGTCGTCGTTTTGTTTGTATGCGTTACAGTCAGGAAGTATTTAAAAATAACATTAGTTCTCGAAATCAAACTAGATGTCGCTACGGTACGTTCTTGATTTCTCCATTCATACGAGGGTCAAACTGAAAGTTCTTAGAACTGGCCACTTATAAACAATATAATAAAAAAATAATTCTAAAATTTGAAAATATAACTCTTTGCCAATATTACTGAGTATATATTTCATTCATTTGTCATTTGTTTTACGATTTGGCGGCAAATTGAAAATTGTCTGTGTCACGTCATCATGAATTTAACACGAGAAAATTTTCGTGCAATGATTTTTTATGACTTTCGATGTCATTTAAGTCAACAAGAAAGTTATGATAGACTACGATTGGCCTTTCACGATGAAGCCCCATCTCGTGCGACTGTTTACAACTGGTTTAATGAGTTTAAACGTGGTCGCACTAATCTCACTGATGATTTACGTGAGGGACGGCCTTCTACGGCGACGACTGAAGATAACATCTGTGTTGTGCGGCGTATGATAGAGACTGACAAAAGAGTGACCTATCAACAAATTCGGACAAGCTTAGGCATCGGTATGAGTCAAGTGCACAAAATCCTCCACGAACATTTAGCGGTCAGGAAGCTTTGCGCCCGGTGGATACCTCATAATTTGACTGAGGCTCAAAAACTCCATCGTGTGGATTGGTGTCGTAAAATGATTGAAAGATTTAACGGAGGTGACTCAAATGCTGTGTTCGACATACTAACAGGTGACGAAAGCTGGATTTACTGTTATGATCCTAAAACCAAAAGACAATCTGCTCAGTGGGTGTTTCCTTTCGAGGAGTTGCCAACTAAAGTGAAGAGAGATCGAAGTGCGGGAAAAAAAATGGTGGCCTCGTTCTTTGGAAGGATAGGTCATTTTGCAACAATTGTGTTAGAGGATCAAAAAACAGTTTCTGCAGAATGGTACACTACCAATTGTTTGCCACTTGTCTTGGAAAAAGTTCGAGAGAAACGACCTCGCAGTAGGATCCTCCTTCACCACGACAACGCCTCGTCGCACACCGCCAAGCGAACGATCGACTATTTGGCGACATCAAACGTTGAATTACTGGGTCACCCGCCGTATAGCCCCGACCTCGCGCCTTGTGATTTTTATTTATTTCCAAAAATTAAAGAAAAACTTAAAGGAAAGCGGTTTATGAATGCTGAAGAAGCGGTGGCTGCGTATCGCGATGCCATTGAAGAGACCCCAAAGGACGAGTGGGCAAAGTGCTTTTCCCAGTGGTTCCATCGCTTGCAGCGGTGTATTGACGTGAATGGAAAATATTTTGAAAAGATATAATAAAACTAATAACTGGCTAATGTAATCAGTTTTTGATTTTCTAAGAACTTTCAGTTTGACCCTCGTATTTGTATTGATATCTAAGTTGCGAACTTTGCAAACTTCAGTTTTTTTAATATGTTAGTCAAAAAGAACGAAAATTACTATCTGAGCTCCATTTGTTTCCTGCAAAAATCAATTTTGCTAGAGTCGCTATCTAGTGAGGTACTTTATTTATTAAACTTCCTCATTCTAAAGTTCGATCTAAAGAATTAGTTTCCTGCAAAAATCAACTTTTGTTAGAGTCACCATCTATTGAGGTTGCTTAAATACGAGTAAGTTAGGAACTTTGCAAATTTCAGTTTTTTAATTTGTTAGTTAAAAGGAACGGAAATGACTATCTTTGGTCCATTCGTTTCCTGCAAAAGCCAACAACTAGTGAGGTGCATTTTTCTTAAATACTTCCTCGATCTAAAGAACGTAGTACATGCTAAGAGGTTGTCCCTCAGGCAACCTGAGCGGGCACATGCGTCGCGCGCACGCGGTGGCGCGGCCGCACGCGTGCGCGGAGTGCGGCGCCGCGTTCCCGCAGCGGCGGGAGCTGCTGGCGCACGGCGCCGCGCACCGCCCCAGCAGGCCCTTCCACTGCCAGCTGTGCCCCAACAAGTACTGTGCATTGTGTGCATTGTATATATTTATGTGGGGCCATTCATTTATTACGTAACACTATTTAGAGGGGGAGGGGGGTCAACAATGTCTTAGTTTTTCTTACAATGTGGGAGGGAGTCTCGATAGTTCTTACGTTAGATCAGCAAAAGGGGCCGATGTGGAATGGGTGGCCGTCAACGTCACTATCCTGAATGACCAACTAGAAGCATCACCTTTTATTAGAGATGTTCCAGTGGCAGATCCACTTTCCGAGTGGGTTTTGAGTGCTTGGATTGAAAATTTTATGAAAGATTTATGAAACTAAAGTCTTTTTTAAACTACCAATAAATGAAAATTATTTCTAAAAATTATTACTTTGAAAAATAGACATTAAAGCAACCCAAAACTAGTATTATTTTTTCTTTCAGATTCTTACGTAATAAATATTAAACAGGGAGGGAGCTGGTCGGCCTTTTCTTATTTTTCTTAAAATAGGGGGGGAGGGGTCAAAAACTAGCGAAAATAGTCTCACGTAATAAATGAATGGCCCCTATTGAAATGGAGATTTATATTCAAGGGTGAATAGAAGGTATCCGTGGGTCTGATGGTTTTACGATAAGGAAGAATCCAGAATATGAAACATATGTACGTTAGTGATGTAACGTTATAAGTAGAAGGAATATCATTTACATATTTATTGGTCTGCATACGGGTGAACTCTGCGATTTCATTTCATCGACGACCTCCGTAGCCGAGTGGTTCGCACGCCGGTTTCAAGGTGTCGCCATCTCTGAGTTCGATTGCCGGTAGGGTTAATGTAGAAAATGAACTTTTCTATATTGTCTCGGGTCTGGGTGTTGTGGTACCTTCGTTGTCTCAGATACTCCATAATACGGGGGCTTTATTCATCTTGGAATCTGAACAATGCATGTGATGTTGTTTAATATCCAATATATTTATTGGGTTGTAAACCAAATGAGCCACAGATGAAATCGGGCAATATTGATCGCATCATTGGAATTTTCTTTCGTGAATGAAATGTAGACCGGTCGCCAGAGAGTTTTGTACGTTGACCTTTGTGCCTACTGTTAGATATTGTAGACATTTAAGGTACACTTTACTTTGACAAAATTGGCTAGATGCATGCTGTGCGAGCGCAACAGAAATATGTTTGTGAATGAGTGAAAGAGATGTGTAATGCCGGGTCATTGTACGGAATTCTCCCTGTTCGGCGAATGATTAAATAGGCCCTAAGGTGTAATATTAATAACATATGTCATAATACTGTATGTCACCATATTGTCGTATCAAATTACATGTCTCTTTCACACGTGCGCAAACGTATTGCCGTTTCGCTCGCACAGATGCATTTAGACAATTATGTCATAGTAAATCATAGTAAATTGGACCTTAAATGTTTAAGATATCTAACAGTCAGGGCTTGGAAACCGGTTAATTTTTTGAACCGGTTCGACATAAGTACATGCACAACTTTACATAAAAGGTACAGCTCCTTTGAACAGGTTTTTAAATTGGTTCACTAGAAATAAGGTTTTCTTCATTAACCGGTTGAAATATGACTCCAATCAATGATCTCACAAACTTCAGCACGGTTTTTAAGTGCCTTTACTCCTATCTATAACATCCGTACACAGGTATGATAAATGTCATCGCTTAGAAATGATGTAATTCGCATTAAAAGCGTAAGAACATTGCTTTTTACGAACCAAGCGAATTAACCGGTTTTTATTCCATCCGAATTTCACTCCGCATTCAGTTCCGATCCGGAACGGAACATGATAAGAGAACAGGTTTTACCTAAATAAAAACGGTTTATTCTGAACCTGTTTCAAGCCCTGCTAACAGTAGGTACAAAGGTCAACGTACGAAGTTTTTTTTTCATTAATTCGTAATTTACAGATATCCCCGCAAAAAAGCGCTAGTAGTACACATGCGTACACACACAAACGAGAGAAGATTCGCTTGCGAAGTCTGCGGGAAGAGGTTTCTTCAAAAGTGCACTCTCTTAGTTCACGCTAAAACACACAATCGTAAAGAAGAAACTTGCCATAATATTGGAACTGTAGAAACAGAGGCTGTGGAATATACATTTGTAAAATGGACCGAAGTCAATAAGAAGTGATATTTTGTACTGGCTGATTCGATTAGGGATGTGACTGCCTAATTCTCTAATCATAAGGTACGACATCTTTGCGCTGTTGTGGCGATATTTCCTTCTATTTAACTATTTTGGCGTATCTTTTGGTGGATAAATTTGGGGTAAATAACTAGGTTTGTAAACTGTTGTCAAATTCATAAAGCATTCTTTATAATTCGTACGTCGTTATTAAATATGCATGTCAAAGTATCATCATCATCATCACCAGCCCTTTTACGTCCCCACTGCAGGGGCTCAGGTCTTCCTTATGGATGGTTAAGGAGGATGGGCCATGACCCTCCACGCTAGCCTGATGCGGATTGGAGGGTATTAACGACTGCAAATGCAGCCGGGACCAACGGCTTAACGCGCCTTCCGAAGCACGGAGTAGCTCGAGATAATAATTTTTTGGTCACCCATTCCGTGACCGACCCTTGTGAAAGTTGCTTAACGACAACGATCGCGGGCCGCGGCGCTTATCCACTACGCCACCGAGCTACTCCATGTCATGTAAAAATAGTAAATCGAAATGAAATATAGCCACAACATCCATTAGTTGTATGTATCGGTAAAGCTAAAGTCGTGGGAATTTGTGGCATTTTACCGAAAATTGTTAGGTCGATTATTGCTTGCTAACTAAAGTTTTATTTCGTCTTATAATCAAGTGTTAACTTATCATCTAATTTTGTTTTCTTTTCCAACCTCACCGTTACAAACTGTACGTTTGCTCTGCTTTTTCAAGTAGCAAATTGTTTTAGTCGGTGTATTTACATTAAGTTATTTATTGTTTATCAAATGTATTAGTGAAGACGATTCTGGCCCTTAGTCGGCCTTAGCCGCGTCACGCTAGCTAGCTCGTCTCGTGCGTAGTTTGTCATACTCTAACCTTTGTTTCTGTTGCTATGCTTATAACAAAATTCTCGAACACATGTCTACATAGTCAGAAGAATTATTGCTGCTAATTTAAAGGCTTATTTAAGGTTGTTTTTGAGATTCTTAAATATAAAATCTATGTAAAAATTAGTTTATTTTTTATCATTATATCAATGTATGTAAAGGGAACGGTTACACTGATGAAACGTTATTTGTCTAATAGTTGTGTGGCCTAGTGAAAGATTTGACAAATGATAAATGTCCCAAATGGTTTTTGTTATAATAATAATAATCAGCTTAACAATTATTATACTAAATGAAACATTGTCATATAAAAAATTGTTAATATATAGCAATACAGGCGAAACGTTGGTTTGCAATTGATATTCGGCCAAACAATATTCGGCGAAAAGGCAGTATACCTGGTCATGGCTAGACAGTTAGGTAATCCCCTCCCACGGGTCTGTCACCCCTCATTGTATAGTATGATTGTACACACGATGTGTATAATATGATTATATTTTGTATTCTATTTGTACAAAAGATCTAAATAAATTTAATATGAATTATTCTGAGCGATTTATCTTTACACTCTGCATGGTGAACAGTTTATTTTATACATGATTGCCCAAAAAGAAGTTTATGTATGTATGTATGTATATGAGTTATTCAGATGTATCTCACCATTGGAAAAAAATATTAGAAACTTTTTTTCTTTAATTATATCAATAACAGCCAGTTGCACAAACGTCCATTAATTTTTTCATTAGTTTAAAGTGACATTACCCTTAAAAATTTGACATTCATTAGAGCTTAAAGCCGTCATTAAACCTTAATGGACGTTAGTGCAAATGACCGTAAGGGTATCAAATTAAAGGTATCGATGAGTACATTCCAAAAATATATAACCTGTGATAAGTAATCTAAATATTATCAAACAAGTCAATCTGTGGAATATTTGTAGGTAACCAAAGAGGGCCCTCCACTGCGATGAGTATATTGTTTAGCCAAACAATAATACATCTTTTTTCTTTTATTTTTAATAGAATTTTGGTAGTCTTTATTTGTCCTGTCTTAATTTTTGCTTACTTTGATATCATTTCTTTGTTCAAATTTAACTTTATATATTTTTTAATCTACAATTCGAGTAAGAAACTTGGTACTACATATGTTATTTAAAAACATGTGTCGGGGCCCGTCTCTGCCAGTCCTGCAACCTCCGGGGCCCCGTACCGTTGATACATCCCTGTACCTGATAAATGAATTGTTTAAAGATATAATCTGCTTGCGTAATAGCACACTGTGTGCGTCCGAGTCTGTGTATTGACGTATAAAGTTATATTATCGAAGATTTCCGTGACAGCTTATAGATTAAAAACAAGATATATGATACTATGAGTGATAGTACTTATTATCCGATTCATTGAAAGATTACAAGGCTCTACTTACAAGTACTATATAAAAATTTATAAATATTTTTTATTCATGTTAAAAAATAAGTAGGTATAAGTGTGAAATGAAATGAAAATATCTTTATTCAAGTAGGCTATTACAAGCACTTTTGAATCGTCCAAAAAACTTTTATCCCCTACCACTTGTTCAGGACGTCTTTAAGCTGACAAGAAGAACAAGCGAAAGAAACTTATCAGCTTTTTATCATAAGTAATGACATTTACATAAATCATGTCATTACCAAAATAATATGTATTATCAATTTATCACAATAGTAAATGGGTGATTCTTAAAAAGTGAGGATAAAACCAGTCCAATCCCAATACTTCTTCCTAATCAAATCATAATTTAATAGCAACAAGTTTTTAGAAATTTTGAAATACTAGCACAACTATTTACACACTAAAGAAAAATACTAAAGATAGTTCCATTAGAAATTTAAGTCAAAATGTGCCTTAGACGTCATTATCTCGTATGTCCCAAGTGGCTGCGCGTGGATGTTATGTCTGATAAAAAAATCATTCAAACCTGAACATCTTATTTCTATATGCCAATTCGTCCTCAAATGTTCAAACTTTCTAATCATCGTAAATTACATACATTTGTTTTATTTTAATATAGGAAACGAACCCATTTTAAAATTGTCATTAAAAAAAATCATTAAACTCAGCAAGGATGGTTTCGTAAATTTTCGGTGAATTTTCAAATTCACGTTGAATCAAAGCCCGCGATACTTTCCCCGCACCTCTCTCAGACAAGCTGCGAGCTTTGAACGGAGTGGACGTGACGTGTTCGTCGACGAGGTAAGTTTACATATCGTTCTTACAAATTTGTCATGAAAAAAGTCATTATACTTTTGCTCTCTGATGTAGCAGATGATTATCACGTTAATCAACTTGTTTGCTGCTATTACTTATCGAATGTGAACTTATTCATATCAATGTGGTTTAAAGCAGAATTTATTTAGTTTCAACAGGTTTTAGCCAATTTTCTGGGATTCGTCATTTTCGCCAATATCATTTGCTTCAAAATGTGTGTTACGTATAATGATAAATAGGGAATATAATGATTTGTTCCGTTTTTAATAATGACAGTTATTGAGGATAATGATTTTTTGCTTATAAATAAAAGTACACAAAAACTCGTTAGACCCCATTTTTCATGAATTAAAAGAGATTCACTTCATTTTAGTACATATTGTTCAAGATATTTATGTTTAAGTAAGTATGCTAAAAAAACTAAGTCTCTATTTGAGGCGTTACGATTTTTAGACTTATGGTTTTGTGTACTTCTTTTTCTTCATGAAGTTTTTATTACATTTTAAATGTATTTTATTTAAGCCATGAGATTTTCTTTAAAGGCGTCTTTCAAAATGCCACCAATAAACAAAAAAGCTACAGAAGAACATCGTCGAGCACAACAACGACTGTGTAAAAAGAGAAAATACTTGAAATAAAAAATAATCCCGAGTTATTAACTATTGAACAAAAGAAAAGGCGTAATAAGTATAAGAAAAGAAAGGAAGAAGGTAAAATCAAATCTATAAAGGAACGCACTCCACGAGCTCAACGTGAGCAAAGAAAGAAATGGAAGGAAAATTCCAAAAAGTACGTACTAAGTGTTATCTATCTGTCTATCTATCTAAATGTTTTCTTAGTCATATTTGAAATTCTCTATTTCCATGGATAATAGCGTTTTATGTCTACAATAGGTACAGACAAATGAAAAAACAAGAAGAAACGACGGCGATGCCTCCATTTGAACCAGTTTTAATAGAAGCTGCAGAAGAAGATAAAACCGATGGTGTTAAGATAGAGGGACAGATCAAGACAGAGAGACAACATGATCCATGGCATCAAATGTCTCCTGCTATCAAGGCGGTGGTAAGAAGAATACGCTATAATGAATATAAGAAGAAGTATGTGTAGAAAAATAAAAATAAAAAATGAGAAAGCCTTCGATCCAATCGAAACCTGGGCAGTACTGCAGTCCCTCCAGCGATGCCAAATCTACTACAGGTACGTCGAAGTGTTGAAGCGTTTGTATAGCAACGCCACAATGTCGATTCGCTACCAGGAAGAAAGCACGAAACCAATCCAATTGCGCAGAGGCGTGAGACAGGGAGATGTCATTTCTCCGAAACTGTTCACGAATGCATTGGAGGACGTCTTCAAGCACTTGGAATGGGACGAATACGGCATCAACGTCAATGGCGAATACATCACTCACCTTCGTTTCGCCGATGATATAGTCATCTTGGCAAGATCAATGGAGCACATCAGTACAATGCTCAGCGACCTGAGTATCGTTTCCAAACAGGTGGGTCTTAAAATGAACATGAACAAGACGAAAATCATGTCGAATGTCCATATTGCTCCCGTACCGGTGGTCAATGGAACTAATACTCTCGAAGTTGTCGATCACTACGTGTACCTTGGACAGACAATCCAGTTAGGTAGATCCAATTTCGACAAAGAGGTCGCTCGAAGAATCCAACTCGGCTGGGCAGCGTTCGGGAAGCTACGCGATATCTTCACGTCCAAATTACCACAGTGCCTAAAGACGAAGGTGTATAACCAGTGTGTGTTGCCAGTGATGACCTATGGCACTGAAACGTGGTCCTTAACTGCTGGCCTCTTAGAGAAGCTTAAGAGTCGCTCAGCGAGGCGTGGAGAGAGCTATGTTAGGGGTTTCTTTGCGCGATAGGATCCGAAACGTGGATATTCGCCAAAGAACTAGAGTGACCGACATAGCTCGCAA